GCTTAGAAAATACAAAAATTTCATATCTATTTCAAACACGTGACAAAAATCCGGTGATTTATGGTAGGGTAGTGTATTTTCCTTACAGAACGCCTTTTTTATTTATCTGCGCGTGCCAGATTATCTAATATGTCGAACAGCTCATTATTACATTGTTACAATTGCGCGTGCCAGATTATCTAATATGTCAAACAGCTCATTATTACATTGTTACAATTGCGCGTGCCAGATTATCTAATATGTCGAACGGCTCATTATTACATTGTTACAATTGCGCGTGCCAGATTATCTAAATATGTCGAACTGCTCATTATTACATTGCTACAATTGCGCGTGCCAGATTATCTAATATGTCGAACTGCTCATTATTACTTTGATGTGTGCAAACCTAAACTTTAATTGTTTCGGATTTTTAACTCGCACCAATCTCAACCTCCACAAACAACAAACAAATCACGACAAGATCTTCTGTTACACAATGCAAATAAACACACGGGACATTGTTATATGCTGGTTTTGGCTAAACTCTTACCGGCACTGCTCTAATGCCTAAGATCACATGACATAGTGAAGTGAGTTAATGCAATTCGTTTCTCCTAAATGTTCATAATCATACCCCATAATAATTATAACCAAATCCTTTTTATCCATAAGCAATGGTAACATTCGTTCAAGGAATATTCTGCCGACATTAATTACTAGCCACTTATTTATAATGGAAGTCTTCTAATCATGACGACTTTGATGATATTACATTCGGATACAAACTAAAATTATTACCGATTGTTATCTCGATAAGTCGAGACCACGTTTTTATTCAACCAAAGATTATTGACTTCTCGTAATTATTGACTTCTCGTATTTTGTTCTTTAAATGTAAATTGTCACACTGCAATGAATCCAATTTCAATTATGATCTTTTAAATAAGTCAGCCAATTTACCATCACAATAAACTTCTTGTAATTTCTTTAGCAAATATTCTGGTCCTTACCATCTCCTCTTTTGTTGTTTCTGCTGCTGCTCGACGTTGTCGTTTGTGGGGGTTCTGACGGTATGTAAGTACATTATGTATGCTTGCTGCTTGAAGTAGTGTTTGCTTCGATATTCAGGTTCACTTGGATGAGCAGCAGAACTACTAGTAACCAGCCAAAGCTCAACGCATAGCACTATCAGACGGAAATAGAGGCGGTCATTGAGCTACTGAAGAGAAAAAAACCGTGTTAACCAATGCTTGCCAGATTGCCAAGATCAATGATGCAGACAATTTTACTGAACCATACTTGGTCGTGCCTGCAACAGGGGACAAAGCTGAATTGCATATTCCTTACGGTTTTGGGCAATCTCTGTACCAAGTGACGTCAGCGTAGATATATATACTTCTAATAAAGAATGGCATGGGATGAACATCATTTTAGTTAGAAGAAAATACGGTCTACTTACTTCATGAGATCCAACTGCAGCCTTGTTATCCATCTTTGTTTGTTTTTCATAGTCCTTGCCAGTCTTTTTTATTAGTTTGTCGAGATCGGCCACGTTGTTGTCATGAGCTCTCGCTCATCTTTCTTTTAAGAATTTCAATGGTAATTTAAGACGTTCATATTTACAATTGCACAGATCCGTTAATCACCAAGACTAACATGAATCATACATTTGACCTTCATGAGCATGTCAAAGTCCGTTTGTATAACTTTATACTAAAATAGATTGCCACCTGTTTAGTTCGATGCTGCCATCTTGAACCAGACCACCAAAAACAACGCCCAACCACAACTTACGAACAGTAGCCAAGCCATCATAAAACTGCGACGTCGACTGAAGACACATGACTGGGAATGTCGATATCCGTTAGATTTTATCATGGTCCTTCTTATACTGTGCTTCCTGCCCTGCAAATCGATAAAGAAATCGATAATTGAAAAAAAATGCTTCGACTCGTTTGACTGACAGCGCGATAATTTTACGATCTCCAGAAGAAATGATCATTAGTTCAACATTCTCCAACAATGGTCCCATTAGGTCAATTCCAGCTCTATGTGATTTTGTCAAGCGTTGATAGGTAGATTTCACTCTCTAACTACAACCTCGTAACCCTATAATGAGTAACTTTCATAGTCGATCATTCCAGCTGAATTATATTAGAGTATTAGTAACACGAATAATTTGAGCAACGCTTGAATTGCACACGGTCTAGCGGCCTTGCTGAGCACGACCACTTGACGTCTCTTTCGAGCTAAATGCCCCAGTGGAACTGCCCCTCACGGAGATATGAGCCAAACAAAGAGCCATTTATATCTATATGGAAAAGAGTATGGAACACAGTTCATAAATCATCTTGCAGTAATAAGAATACTGGAATGTCTCCGAAATGGAGAACCACCAGCCGAATTTAAATGGGATTATTGGATATCTCAAAGCAACTCGCCGAACTTTTCTTTCAACCGAATATCTCATTATCCTAGAAATGTAGATCCAATGAAATGAACAATGATACTAATGGTATCGAAAAACAATTTCGCTTGTATGAATACCACATTAACAATAAGTACATTCAGAGTATAAAAGTCACGATAACGCGCATCATAGTCCCGCAACAGAATCAACATTTGACCACGATGATAATGAAGAGAGTAGTCTGCAGTTGCATCAATCATTGATGGAGATGAAAATTTGACGAAAGTAGAGCCAACAGACCAAGAGCATCAGATTTCCGCTCCTTCTATTCCAAAGAAAACCAAGGCACATGACCAAGGTTGTCAAACGGACGCGATTATTCTCCCCCAATTTTTTGAATCACATCAACAAACAGACACTAGTAAACGAATATACTTGAAAGATCTGCGAGGGCGTACTCGTTCGCAAACACGAGAAGTGCCAGGTGCAGTCAGTACTAGCCGTCACGTTACCGTAGCAGAGATGACATAATAGGACATACAAATCCAGCAAGGGCAAACACAACGAACTACTCGACCGATTCATTACAAGGCATGGCTAACATGGACATTTCAAGGGATGCTACGGGTAAGGTCTCGTCAGCATCTACTGCTCCGATACAATCGCGAAGCTATGTATGTAGTTCCGAAGAAGCGCGGCCCTGGAAGACCAAGAAAGAAACCAATACTTGAACCGGTCATTGTTGAACGGTACTACCGCCCAAGAAACCAATGATGCAGAGGTCTCAGCTGCGATCGGATTCTCAGTATTGCCAATGTAATATCCAAACGTCTGGATATCGACATTTCTTATTATTATAATGTTATCACGAAATACTGGAGAAAGATTTATGTGCTACGGTTATAGAGGATAACGAGTATTGGATGAGGAGAAAGAGTGTGAAGGAATATTATTAGAGAAGCAAGATGCGAGAAGAGGGTTGAATGAGGAAGCAAGAAACAACGGTGTAAGGGTTACGAATAATAAAGATGCAAGGTATGGGACTCAAAGTATGTATGTAAGACGAAAGGAAGCTGATGAGCCCGAGTGTCTATCAACGTTGTAAATGTTCCTTGGACACTGGTACAACCATCACGCGACGGTCGCCGCGAAACGAGTGTATCTAGTAATGGCGGTATCTCTGGATGGAAAAGGAAAATTATAAAGAAAAAACAAGCAGTCAGGGTGCCATGGTATAAACGACGTCGTTTACTTCCGATAGAAGCTTTACCGGCAGATGACCAAAGACATTAGGCATGTTTGGCTTTATTAAATCTGATGTTAGAGCTATATCAAAAAGCATATAAATATTTGAAAGTTGAATACAGACAAGAGAGGAAACTAACCAAGCAGGTCAATGCTCGGATCAGAGAAAATTCGATAGCTATGATAATGATAAGGGTCAGTCCCGATCCAATTTCACCTTTGAACCACAGCCTTTAAGAGAGAGGCCAATTTAATCCATATGAATATCGTTTGTAAGCATTTATAATTACACAGAGGATAACAATTATAATACCATAACTTCGATATAAACATATATTATGTAGTCATTGGTTACAATATTACTGCTAATGAACCGTTGCTTTAGCTGTTCGGTACTTGGAATAAATATTAATATTAATATGACGCAATAAACCAAAACAAATTTCAACATGACACAAACCATAACATATAAAATCATTGGTTGAATGAGTAACACCGACTTTTGTTTGTAAACTCGTATAATAATTTTGTTTGTATCGAAAATCTGACAAGTTCACAACAAAGATTGTATACCATCCGACCAACAATCTATGTTTTAGTCAAATACAACCGCCCTGTAGGCAACAAGCTTTTTCATGATAAGAGATATAACTCTCCAAGGCACTTATCCTCTTTCAAAAATGAACATTTTTACAGTCCCTTGTCCCAACTACGGCCGATGTTGGCCATTTTTTAATATGCCATATATCGGTTACTTTTATTTTATCGGTAAGTCTCTCTGTTAGTATTTACGGATATGCGATACGATAGCAATAATGCTTGATGGGTGCTGGTGGTGTTTATAACAGAATCTAGTGTCAATGTGGAAAAATCTTCATGTATGCAGTTGTCCATTGCTTGATAGTATTCATTTTCCTGACAGGTTTTATCCTAATAATATCTCGAGAGTGCCACCTTATTCACCGTTAACCCAACAAGATGCTCAATGTCAGTTTACTAATTTCTTTTATTTAACCTGTCTCGATTTAATAGTGCTTTTCCTATATGGTAGAAATACCGTTGGGTCGGGCAATGGCCACAGACGATTTATCAATGTAAGCTATAATTGAAGCTGTCTACATGCTTTCACCATTTTGCTAATTATTTTAATATATCAACGCGTAGTGTCATCGCTCGTCATCCTCCCCAGTTATTGGAGGTGACCATATCATGCATATCTATCGCGATAATGTAAGTAAGGAATAAGCTTCATTGATATTGTAAATATATGACTTATTCCCATCCTAACTCTTTAATTTATTGTCATCATCAGACGCACAATTCCCCGTAGTCAGAATGGCCGATATAAATAAATGGCCACGAAAGATTGGTAAGTATATTTACATACTTATTTTTTTCTTTTCAAAAAGATAAACTTTTAATAAATTGCGAATGAATTTTTTTTTATCACAGGCCAGTTGCCGCAGGGCCTCAACACGGCGTGAGACGAAGAAAACAATACGACACGCCGCGGAGGAAGCTCTGGAGAATATTATCGAGCGTTTTCCTTGAAGTAATTAACGCGAACGTTTACAGGCCGTCCCACTTTTCCGAAGCTGGGATGAATTGGTAAATATATTTTACATTGTCTCATATGTTTTTCTTTTCGACCACGTGGGCATTATAATAATCGTGAATAATTTAGACAGAATTTAGACAGAAGCTACTTACATGATTTTACTCATTTTCATACGCTATAATAATCATGAATGAATCTTTCTTATCCTCAAATAAATAGCGTGATGGCACAGCTACCACAGTGGGGCTGCAACGGCACGGAATGGACGTCGAACAGGGTCCCGTAAATGAATCTTTCTTATCCTCGGATAAACAGCGCGATGGCACAGCTACCACAGTGGGGCTGCAACGGCACGGAAGGGACTTCAAACACTTGTCGGTCTCTAGATGATTACACCTAATGAGGACGGAGTGATGGGGGAACCCAACGATGACCAACCAGAATAATTTTTAATGTCTGGAATATCAACTTGTTGTTTGTACTGACACATATAAATAAACATCCGCTTTCATTATATAAATATTTTCGACCAATGTAGTTTTGAAAATGTATGTTCGGGAAAAGAAACAGCATGGCATACGAGGCTGGATTATGACACACATTATTTAGAGTATCGACCTTATTTATAGTATCAACACCAGTTTTGTTCACAGTATATCCGATTGCATTATTGTCTTTAATTGACGACAAAACATTGATCGCTCTTGTTCTTCAATGCAACGACTCGACATAAAATATACCAATTTTTGGGTCTTGATATATTACTACTACGACTCATTCCTCATGTCTATCACCATCACCCTAACACTTCAACGTTTCACTCTCGTGTGATATAGAATTCTCTTATCAGTGTATGATAAATTAAATAGAAAGGACTATTAAAATTCGTAATACCGATCAAATTTAAATATTGAAAAAAAGGGGGAGGAACACTTGCTTCGGTATAACAAAAATTCGTTATAACGCATTTCGTTATAACGGGGTTCGACTGTAGTTCAAATTCTTGTCTTGAGATAACCATTATCGGATAATGTTGTGTGTTTTATGTTGTAGTATTGTATTTCGTGTGGTTAGATCCGTTGTAGTATGGTATGTGTATAGTATTTGGTGTACAACCTCTGTCGGGGGTACTTGCGTGTTCTAAGTATAAATAATTACAATGGAATATTCGGATATTGTTTCTCATTGAGCAGTTGGTTACAACTGGAATTGGGTTGCTCTGGCGCAACGACTTACCATATAAGTACAGCAATGGAAAATTCTCTCTAATACCGCAGGAGTATCGGTTGTCGTATTTAGCTCATAGTGATAACAAGAGATTACACGTAGTGATGGCGAGATGCATATTGGTACGCGACATAAATCGCTGTTGAACCATGACAAAAAGGTTCGTTCATGTGTATTAATAGAGTATCCAATGAAAGTATGAATCATGTATACTATGGAGTCGGGAAGTTATCCAGCCTTTTTCCCATCCTACGCGGCCCCATGTGTATGTTTTATAACTGTCAGCGCAGCGGAACTTCTCGCAGGGTATTGATAGATTCGAGTAAATGATTTGCCGGTGAGAATTCAGTCTTCTACTTGTTTGTACTTAAATATATTAAAGTCGCATTTCAAACTCTTCTGGGATGGCCAATTTTGTTTGGCGTATTGTCGTATGCCAGCAATTCTTCTTTAGTGCAAAATAGGCGGATTTCCTGTATTCTTCCTCAAAGAGCTCTTGCAATTGCTTGTCTTCGTATTCTTCAATTTGCCAGCTCCATTATATCCAAGAAATATGGCCTTCATATGGATATTATAGTCGGCTGAGGGATGTGTAGTATAGGTTGTGTAGCATTATACAATCGGCTTATTATTATAATAGGTTTGTAAGAAGTGAGTAGCAGGCTATTATACGATATATGCTTACATAAACCCACAATGTTTCTATAGCATGTGACTGTTTATAGTAACACAGCTGCAGACCTGTGATTTGTATTACACGACAGTACACGCAGCACGTGACTAGTTCTTGTATGCAAAGCGCGTACCATTCCGGCTACGCGCCTTAGAATTGATATGGAAGTCTTGTATATAAATGAGCTCTGCCCGGAGAGTAAGATGGTGGATGGTTAATGAGACAAGAGTGAAACAAAAGGACATTAAGAAACGACGATTTCGTCGGCCTGGCATATGCTATACCAGCCTCAGGAAATATAATTACTAAATGAGAACGTTGCAGAGTTGAGACGGGTCGTAGGTAGAGACCCAAAGAAGAATATCTGTACTGCAGATAAAACATCCTCTAAGTGCATGCCGTTGGGACCAGACCATGGCGTCCATAAGATTATATATTATAATATGCAATTAAAATATAATATATAGGCAGAAAACCAAAGCAGCGGCGGCTGCTGCTGCTATGGGCCTGCCTAGAAATGCAATTACTTGAGCCCCTATCGACAAAGAGGGACACTTTAGGAATCCTCGACTTAGAAAAACTAAAGCCGTGGCTGCTGCTATGGGGCTGTGCCCCCAATCGACAAAGAGGGACATTTTAGGAATCTGGTACAGCAGCGGTATACCGATCCGACCGAGCATACCGCGTTATTATTATAGATTCGATCGAAGCTTCCGTTTCATTTACACTCTCTAAATACACACCCTCCCTAAATGCACGGTTTGGCACGGTCTTGGGACTTAGTGATAAATGCACACTCCCTATATCCTGCAACATGCAATGAATTTTCAGTCCTTATAAACTATTACAGTTCTACCTCAGTTATATCTCAGATGTATCCCTATCCCCCAATTTTTCCAAATCCCAGCAAATTTATTAACCATATTAATATGTATCATTGTATTACTATTACACTATATATTTCTGTTAGAATATGTCGATTAGGTTAGTCACAGTAAAAAATCAGACATAAATAAAAGACAGCAATTTCCAAGTTCGAAAATCAAATTACCAATTGTCAGTCTTATTAGCGTTAAACCATTACTCATCGAAGAAATTCTTCTGACTTGAAGGTGTCTTTATAACAGACACTAACAGATATGGAAGAAAATTTAAGTGAAGGGGAAGAGAGAATTTGCACCAAAAGAACATGGGGAATGCACACACGTGATCAATATTTGTATCGACCAATTTGTAAAATTGTATTAATATTAATATTAATATGGGCGAATTTCATAAAATCCTTAGCAACACATGATGACAGAAAAAGCCGTTAATATTAAGCGGCCATTGGTGAAATCATTTCAAGAACCAAGAAATTAGAAACGACGATTAAATGGCACTATCTGTATTCCCGGGATACGAACAATACTATTTCAGATCCACCGTCTTTAATAATCCAGCCATGGAAACCGGAACTTGATCATTTGGTAAACAAAGAGGATAACGTAATTAAAATCGAGAAATTTCCAAACCAATAGCTTGCTGATATGACAGTGCACTAGGCGTTATGAAGGAAGTTCCAATATTGAATAACATCTGGTAGTTAAAAGTTTGAGAAGAGCAAGGTGAGGATTACCTAGAAGGGTACAGGAAAGGTTCATTGAATCTCATTAGATAATGGTCGAAATGAAGAGTAATCGTGTTATAGTTAGTTGCTATATCAGTGTTTAATAAAGCAATATGTACACTTGTAGCTGCCGAAGACAAAGGTCATGTAATCGATTCCGTTCGCCGATTAACAATGTGAAGGAAGCTACCAAATTTCGACAATGACGATTACTGTGTATATGTGTACGCATTGCCATAGTCTAGGCATTGGAATACTTCATATGCCGCTCTCTGTGAGAAGAGTTTACGCTCTGAATGGAATGGAACTTCATAGGCATAATTCTTATTATACCAAAAAAAGCCCATTATTCGTAACCTGGATTTACAAAGCCCTAACGGACATATTCGTCTTCGCAGTTGCATTGGCAACTTTGATGCCTTGCCCCTTCACTCCGGACTTAAAGACCATGCTTTGACAAGGTAAATTGTTTAAAGTATGTCGATTGCCGTTCAATAGACAGTTGTCAAATGTAATTTGTAATAAAGCTGACTGTCTTGCATCTTCGTTTTCGACCTGTCATTAATATTTCTCTTGACCCCCCAATGACTCTTACAGGCTGGACGCGAATTGAAACTATCGATTCTCAGGCCAGATTACTGATGAGATTCGTGAGCGTATTGTTCTTACTGTTCTAAATATACGATCACCTATGAGGAATACTTGATAATGCCAGGATCGTAGGGAAAGAAATCAAACAAGTCATCCAAAGTTGGGAACTTGCTACTTGGACAATTGGCGATATGGAATGTCAAATGAGTAAAGAAAATGACCCTCTGCCTAAATTGCTACTGTGAAGTGTTTACATGTGGCAGGATCTAATATACAGCACAATTGAAAAGTTTCGAGCTATCTCGGATCCAAATCGTGTAATTACATTCAACTTCGGTAATAAGTGCTTTTCACATCCAGCAACTGCTATCGTTACTAGTAAACGAGCGCATATCCACATACTATACTACATTTGCGTACTATGTTTTATTATCTTCACGTGGAAAATATGTAGCGAACAGTCAGTTTATTACACATGGATAAGATCTCTTGAAATTGTCCAGCCGGATACAACTTGCTTGTTTGCACATTTCAAGTTACGGAAAACAAAGTCTATTAAGAACGTGAGCGTAGCTGTAGTTCTTATCAAAACGCGCCTTGGTACAACTTCGGTCAAAAATATGAGAAAGGAGCTTACAGAATTCTCGACTTTACAAAGAAATTGGGAGACCTCTGTGCAGAGAAAATGGAAACTAACGCCCAAAGTACGTTGCCCTCTAAAACTCTTTTTGCCTTTTTCAGGCGGCATCGATTGCCTTGGATTAAGTTACTAAGCAAACGAGACTGATCGAATGATTTCTCGTCTATGTTTCCGCCCTCCACCTGTTTTCCTTGTCTAGGATATTGGAGATACATTGATCCAGATTACATGTATAGAACACTCGACATTATTCTTTCAACCATAATATCCGACGGTATTTCACTCGATTATCAGACATTTGTATGTCTTTAAGCGGATTAGGAATCTCCGAAGATATAGTTCGACATTGCTTGAAACAATTTTCTGAAGTTAGCAATCACGAACATACAGACGGTAACGATTTGATAACCGCATGTGGATTAGCAATGTGATGGTCGAGTCATTTCTTAAAATGATCGATCAGTGCCTGAGATAACAAGTCACGTCAACCGGTTTACATCTCAATTACTTAAACTTCAAGTGGATTGTCTTGTTCCGAAACAATGGAAGTGTATTGTGCGGCTAGATTCCAACAACATCCACTGACACCTTCACAAGAACCAATATAACAAATATGTATACAAGGATAAATAATAACACTATGGATAACTACATACTCATACTCCATAATCACATACCTCCAAAATATGTTCCATAATTATAAAATTCAATTTTTGCAGACTGTAAACATAGCCTGTGTAAAAAAGCGCGTTAGTAATACTATTGTCATGGAACTTGACATTTTAACAAAAATGTTTACCTGTTGTAGCTATCATAGCTCGAAATCCACCACCGCTTCCGCCAAATCCAATGATTGTATATTGTCGACATGAATATCGTTGACATCTACTCCGCGAATTTATCGCGAACGAATTCTTTACAAGTTGTTTCTCTTCGTCACAGATGTCAAGCGAAGTGGGTGAATACCATTGCTTAATGGGGTTAGCGTATCATTTATGCACTACCGCGTTCATGTGCACAAAAGTTTCAAGCTTAATATTATATTAAATTGTTCCTGCTGCTATGACCAAAACGGGCTTGGCAAAATTATATAAAGTGTCTATCCCAAGCTTAGTGATGTCCAACTGCTGGGTCAGTCTTTATAGGTCACGCGTAACTACAGTAATACTGCGCATATTATGCGATTATTACTTGCTGTCTACAAGGCCTTAAATACCAGATTTTTTTGGTTGGGCTGTGGAACATAACACTGTGTATACATAAAACGTGCGGTGTGTATCAAAGTTTTGAATATATTCCCAAACAAAAGACTGCAACAATTCAATTCGATACGAATATTCACTTCTTTCGTTTGCAGCAAGTTTTCTCCACTTGTTAACTTATGAGGCTGCTATTGTCTACACGTCAAATTTGAAATAAAATCGATAAATTATTCTAAATATACAGTAACACTGTACAAAAAATTAACCTTCCAAATTTTTAATTCTATTATACTCGCCGCAACTACACGTATACTGTGCATACAATAATTAAATTCGATTGCTTGTTAAATTTACATAATAATAACTCGCAATTACATCCTTTTGGGCGTTGACAACCGCACAATTAAGTTAATTTATCTAATACGCTTCTATGGAATACAGCATTGCATCTGATAAATATAAATATACTAGAGGCAAAATTAATAAAAGTGATATCCCGTAAGATAACAATTTGAATTATAGGAGACAGGTGATTGCGGAAGATACAATTGTGATGTGACAAATGCATTTAATGACACAATAGATTATGCAAGAAGCGTTCTCAATTCAATGCCCTAACCATCGTCTATTTACATTCTCAGCAAATGCTATGGATATCCAGATGTGGAAATCAGTTGTTACACGACGTGTTTGGGTTATAATTCGATCAGCAAGATTTCTTTCGATCGTTGAGACGTGGATGATAACGCGTAAGTCATATCTATTCGAAAGTATTATTGACTACAGTAGTACTCGACTATATAGTCAGAAACGGATGGATGGATGGTCTGTGCCCCATCGTGTAAATGAAGAATTATCGCTAACGATACGGAGACTCCCTGTGCATAACCATAAGATTATTAGTTTCTCGAACGAGATTTAGAGATGGCTTTAGACGAGCAGAGGTCTATCATGATACTATCAAACGATAAAAGACAGGCTCCGCACAACCTCCAAAACGTCCTGGTCGATCTTTCCATTCTACTCGAATCGCTTTATCAACAAGCACGTGTGTTCCATATACAAAAGGTCGGGACAAGTTTCCTTATGACTATAAACAAGCTGTTATGGTATTGTTTGTAGGGCTATGTGATAGGGGAAGATGTGTTTGAAACTCGATAATAAGTGCATGCCAATGGGATCGGTCTCTTGATGCCGGCGATTATTCAGTTATACGCTTCTCAAAAAGCTTTGCATATTATCTTAATTTTTACCGACCTATTTATTTTGTTTTTATAGATGGGTTTCGATTCATTCAAACAATTTCATTCAGTATGGTGCTGAAAATGCAGTCATAATCAACGCACATATTGTTGATCCCATATATTATTATATGGAGTGGGGCCGATTAAGCTATTAAATGTAGGTGATGCTTCAACAAGGTTGCGTTCTGCAAATTGACAAGTAATACCGACGTGAGTGAAGAACAATTTTAATTTGTTATAATAGCGGGTAGTATTAAGGGCTGACAAAACATCTTGTACTTTGTTTAACGTACTTCATACCGATTGGTTGATTCTCATAGTCAACACCAATAATCTCGGGCTTTTCGTGGAAACAACTTCAGCCAGGAAAAACCTCTTGTCTCATCAAGTAGCGTCACAGAGTCGCGTGATTTGGACGGTGACATAGACGATGAATTGAATGGGGATAATGGCATGTAGAAGGAGGAAAAGGGTGAAGAGATGAAATTATGAAATGCAAGCAGAGACGAGGAGGGGGGAGAACGGGGTTAAAGGAGAAAGAGAAGTGACCGAACGTAATGTTAATGGGGTTATAGAAGACGAGCTTTGGACTGTGGTATTGAGGATTGACGGACATTGAGGTTAGTTCGAATTGGTGTCCGTGATGCCTTGGCATCCATCCATTCGTACGAATATTCTATGATCTAATGCGACGTTTTTAATCATTATTAGATCATTACATTTACCAATTACTGGGAGCTTTCTACTTTCCAAACTTTGGGTAGTTTACCACAAGTTCTATCAGTCGCAGAACGTCAAAGCATTGGGGTAATCAACAGAATAGCTGAAACAGTTGACATCTTTCGGGGGAAAAAAAAAGACATCTTCACATTTAACGGTATGTGACGAGATTCCATCCACGCCAACACTGAATATCACCCATGTTACAACTTTCCCGCAAAAAATACTAGTTGGTGTCATATTTCGGATCTGATGAATAGACTTGTGGCATTAAGCGCAGAAAAACCTAGGTATTAAGCGGCAGCATCATCGCATTATCATTCAAAGTAACAGTACCCGTAACATTGACAGCAGGTACCACACACAACTATAGCTTCTACATACACGGAGCAGAGCACAATGTTCCTATCGCGTGGTACTTCGCCTTTTCTCCTCGATATTAGTAACAAGGACAAGATAATCATCCAATTCATTAACGACTGGAATGCTTGCTATCGGATCATGTAATATTAGTAGCGAACAGTCGATGATGGCAACGCGTCGGTATTAGATTATAACAACAAAACGAACCGTTTGTTTATGTTAGCAGACTTTGGTATATCCCTTATATGTGTAACGCATTATTTGGGTAGACAAGCCTATATTTGGTAATCAATGTTCAGTAAAAACCCACTTTACCTTTTTTCGTTGGACACTTTATAAAAACGGGACTGCCACACAAACGCATTGAAAGCCAACGATGGTGAAGGTTAAAGATGTTAGTCTCCATGACTGCATGCATCACGCTGTTAGCTAACATCAGTTTTGAAAGAGAGCGAGTGGGAGAAAATTCACCAATTGCTACACACCGTACTAATACAAGAATCCATTGCACGTAATCATAAAGTCGAAAATTGAGAATATAACGAGCACGATTAATAGAACAGAAATAGAGCGCACCCATCCTTGTAAAGTCGAATGACACGTTACTGGTATGAATTATTTAAGTCTCGTTTCGGACTAGGACAAGAAATCGCAGACTGTTTATTGATAAAATATTTGTCAGACTATCAATGACTACTCTGATATTACTGGGACGCGACTCTCCTTCCTCAGAATGACAAAGTTGACCGAATTGGTTTGAATTACATGAATAACTATATTTCAATTAAAATTGTATTTCATTTTGAGTCACTAGGTTGTTTTCAGCTCCACCTCATAGATTAGGAAATCGAGCTCAAGAGAAAGAGCCCTCCTGGTGGACGCTTCTCTCAAGCAACAGCGCTAGCGTGATTCCTGAACTGTAAAATTCACATGATAATTAGTTTATTATTATTATTGTTTGAACCAATGGGAGTTTGCTGATACCGGAAATTGCTTACCTCGGAGATTCTTAAACCATGCAGAAAATACACCGTGCCTTCTGCTCCATTCCATAACAATCTCTTCGAAATCGGCATCACCCATGACTGAGTGATGCCGACAATCCAAATATTTGGAGTCAAGATCTCGGCATAATTGTAAGTGAGCTATTATTGAGTACATATTACAATCATTTTAGTAATCGCAATAAATATATGCGTGCATTGTCTCACATTAAGGATCGATATCTACCTGGTGAGCATCCGTGACGCAGCGGCGATGACTCTTGAATCGTTGCTGGTAGTCCAATCAAGAGGTTTCGGTGCTCTGCAATGAAAGCAGGATGTGTTGACATCCAGAACTAGTGTAGTACCTAGGAGGGGGGCTTCGGGCTTTAACAGCTCTCTCAAAAGCGGATTATGCTTCTCCATAGGTCTAGGATGCAAGCTTCGGTGGGGTTGCCGAGTCCCCGATGCCTCTTTTTTGATATGCGAGTCCTGCCAAATAGTGCCATAAGAAAACTGGAACGATAGGAAAGCTTTCATGGTGTTATATTAAGAATAGTCATAAACGCTACATCTGATGACCTTGTATAAAATTTTTTCGCTGTGTAACGTGTTGGATTGCCGGTTCTGTTTTGATAATTTTCCGGCGTTTTAAGGACAATAATAATATAACATTCTATTTTAAACCTTCTTTTTTGGCAAGTCTGGAAATAGGTCAACTTTGAATATAAACTATTCATACGCAGAGACACCCATGTAACAAGTAAAAGAACGCAAAACTCCATGTAACATGAGTGAACACTTTAGCGAGGTGCAACATGAGGTCTATTACCAAATCTGGAGGATGGCTAAAGCGGAGTAGAACGTGACCCGATTCTTGCAATTACATTGGTCAAATTTGTATATCAACCAATGAAATTGTAAAAAAACTACTCCGCTTTAGCCTACCCCCAAATCTGGCGTGGTCATGGAAATCAACCAGAGAATGTAGTTATTGCATGAATGGCATTCGGCGTCGTAAATTCTCCAACTGAATAAACATATTAGGCGCGTTATTGTCTTCTTATCTATATCTTACATCGATAGCAGATGCAGTGGAGTCAATTTAAATTCGCAGCGGACAGTCCCTGAGGAACAACAGGTATTACTTTTACTTAACCGTGACCGCAGATGAGAAAATCGAAACGGAAATTATTGTAATATTTGGAAAATGTCTGTATAATTAATTCTCCTATGATCACTGATTGTCTGACACCCATTAACAATATCATTTCAGATGCTGACCGTACCTCTCCGTTTCATAACTTTTAGGAACAGAGGATTTTCTTGAATTCACGCGATTTGTCTGCGTAGAATCGTAAAAACGCGAATAACTACAATACGCATTATTCCGACCAGACCAACGTTCCAACGTTGAATGACACGTGGAATCAAAGAAGACCACAAGCGATGATGCAATGAAGTCTAGAAGATGGTTATAGTCTTGAATAAGAGCCGTGGTAGGTTAAGACGTACGGGAATTTGGAATAGCAAGAGGAAAGGGAATAGGGTGAAAGCGATTGTTGAATATGTATATTCATGTTTCTTTGATACTGTCTAGACTGCCTGCACTTCAACAGAGTAACAAATCTTTGATATTAACGTAAATGACGCAGTGTGGAGCTTCTTTAGTGGGATTTATTTTTCGTAAGTAAAAGATGGAGTTGGATTGTTAATGGTGGAATTAGGAATGGTAACCGCTACATACTGTATCATTGCAGTTGTTGCGCTGGAGGCGCCAACGACCTCTGCAAACGATTGTAGATTACGTATAGTCAGCGTCTGATGATATCATTAATTGATATCAGTAATAAAGCGAAACTCATAAATACCAATTTTATTTTCAGATATAACCGCATTTCAAATGTTCCTTTTCCGATTTGTTAAGGCGTTAACATTAGCGACTTGTTTTACTGTAACAATACACGTTAATTAACAAGAATACCAACAATTATCGTTTTCGCCTTCACCTCGCAGTAATGCGGACAATCACTAATATTTGAGCTTGAGAAAAATGTAAGATTCAACTGACACTACTGGACATTCACAGAATATGGTTCAAATCTGTACCATTCGACCTTTGTCCCAGTTGGTACTTGAAACCGTACATGCAGCAGAACTGGACAGGTAATAATTTAATTACCATGGCTTATAATTTGCGCACACTTACACATATAGTAACGTTAACTTCTATTTGTTTCAGGCCTTGCTGAATGATAGATTAACTGAACCCTTATACGTCCTAGCAACAAAAAGAAAAGGGCTTGAGCACGTTTCCTGGCTCGATGGAGGTCCAACCCTCTCGATCGGCAGACACGGCCAAGTATGTATTCGGTGTTTCATCAATTGCTCAAAAGAAAAGAAAGCTGGGCAAATATGGCAAGCATTTGCTAACACAATTTCACTCCCAACTTCTATCTGGTAGCGCTATGTATGTTTGGGACTTTTGCTAGTGGTTTTATTATCAGTAGTTTTGCTGCACGCGTTAGTCACCTTCAAGTACAGACTATTTTACCCCAATAGCTACTGCCTCATGGCCGCTTGCGTTGCTTTGACAAATCACATTCATTCATCTCTAAAGAAGAACGCGTGCGGAAAGGCAATGAAATTAAATTGAAGATGATATAAATTGACTGAAATCGAGTCTGTGGATTCATTCTGTCTACTGACAATGGTTTCTGTAATAAATATGATCATGAACAAATAACATTATTAACAAGATTGGTATCCTATTCATCATCCACCCACCTCTGTCAAAGCATCTTCTTACCCACCTAAACATAACATTCCATAGACCCTGTGAGATGTCATATAGAATGCTTATTTATCGATTACGAAAAGTTCGAGCGATCATGGAAACTCTAAGAAATGTTTAGAGCTTAAAAAAGGAACTGGAAAAAAAAAAGTATGTACTCAAGTGACGACTTGTTTTTCTAGTGATCCCCAGCAATGTTTCAATTAAACCGTATAATCTTAATAAATCGACGCACTTTCTTTGATAAATTTTATTTTCTCACTAATAACAGTGATAAGTGACCATCATTACTGGCTGTACTTGTTCGGTCCCACGTTCCTTTGTCTGGGACAGGTAAAGTTGTTACCGCGCCGTTTTCGTTATTGACCCTTTTAAAATTCGCTGTTGAGTATCACTCAACCATTAAATCGCATTTCTACATGATTCACGTAAAATGCTACTGATCCCGTATTATTCAGAGCTTCCCATTGTAAACTTTCTTCAAAGCCTGAATGAAAGTACATGTTTCATCCTGCTTAATATGTACAGGTTGAAAATATTCACGTCATTAAAAATGTCGCAAATAATCCCGCGACTGGTCTTAGTAATACTTACTCATGGTAAATACAGTGTCGCAGTGAGAATTGATTACTGAGTTCCTGGAGAAAGCATGAATATTTTTATTCCCGCTAATAATCCTCAATTTATACCGGTAATTGATCCTGTCGCTCCAGCAATGTTAGATGAAGTTTGTTTTGCTAGTCGGTATTCGGGTCTAAACTGTGGAAGAATTATAAGACTTAGATAGAACACTGCCGTTGTTCTTGTAAGCGGATCATGCGTTCTTGTCGACTAGGCATGAAGGGGTTTTGCGTTCTTGTCAACTAGGCATGAAGAAGTTTTGCGTTCCTTTATGAGTTACACAACTAGGCATGTAGGACGGATATAACAATTTGTTGATCGAATAACGTGATCGAGATTTCTATTAGTATTAGAAATACCTCGAGGATTATTAATGAATATATTAATCTTTTTATTTATTTCATCTCATCACTCGCAGTAAAAGCAGGCGTAGCCGTGGTAAAACCGAGATTGTATTTTCTTTACATTCGTACTGACTGTAACTACAGGATACTAACGCATTGTCACCAAACCACTCATTTAACAATGGTCTAATTCAACCTGTTTCTCTTCACTCTGGTTTTCCTTCTAATCGTAGACTATCGTTCTACCCTCTCATAATGCATAGCATATCAAATTCCTCGGCCAGAGCTCAATTCTATATTCGACCCCACAGAAGTTGTACCTGTCTCTTCAAATCCCTGTAGGTTGATGTTTGATGTTTGCATTGTTTATGGCATTTGCGTGTCTTGGGTTGATGTTGTGTCTGGGATTTGCATTGTTTGTGGCATCTGCATGTCTTGGGTTGATGTCATAGTCCGGTTCTTTGTCGTAGCGGAGGCTTCGCGTATACATAAAGGCGCGGGGACATCCTCCATCCTCTCCTGGTTTGCCAGCGTTCCATTTGACGCCTACATATCCTCTTTTTATCAATAAAACCTTCCCTAGATCTACTGTTTCCAATCCATCTCATTGAAATATGAAACTTCTTCTAGACTTCATTGCGTCATCGCTTGTGGTCTTTTGCTATTCAACCTGGAACATTGGCCGGTCGGAATAGTGTGCATTGTAGCTATTCGCATTTACCGCGCTCGTGAATCCAATAAAATTTGAAATAGAGTTGAGCAGGCATCTGAAATAATGTTGCTAATGGGTGCTATAACAATCAGTAATAATTCGGAAAGTTCATAATTGCTAAAGTCTAATACAGGAATTTTCAAAATTACATTTCGCGATTTCCTTATTATTCACAGTTTAAGCATCTAGTATTCACTTACTTAAAGTATACGCAACGCTGTTAATCGGAAATTTCAAAGGAGGAAGTCGAATGCCATTAACCATTTGTGCACACAATGACTGCATTCTCTTATACATTTTCTCCGATATTGGTGTTATTATTCCGATACTGACATCCAGAGTTCCTGTACAATTTATTTAATTCCATTAGTATTCTCTACACTTGGCTTTATTTACATCTTTGATCCATCCACTTAAATAGCCCATGACCCACTCACCACGCAAACATAACCCAGCAAAGATCCTTATTCATACTCATTGGCATTGATATCCTAAGCAGCTTTATTATTTCTTAAAAGCGCTTACTATTACGTGCCAATGTTCTGTTGTTTTTGGTTTTTTTTTTTTTTTTTTTTTTTTTTTTTTTTTTTGGGACTACCGATTAGTGTTACTGGTGTCTTCAACAACGAGCATTGTATAAGATTCACACCTTCATCCGATGCAACATAAGCGATCTTTCAACAAGAACAATAGTGTGTGGTCTTCGTCAAGACTTTATTCTACAATTAAGTCGTTAGATATTCCGTAGGGGTGGGTACGGTATTAATCTCATTTACTATCTTAATCGAATAACTTGTACTAATACGTACGTTGTGTTTAACGTGATTCCTGCCCAATTTCCTTTCGGAATATTAATTGTTATTATTAAAGTTGTTCCCTGTTACCAAGATCCCAAGCAACGCCTTCATAACGTTTTCAAGTCGATCAAAGTGGTGCGTGGTTATAGAGAGGAGGAAGGGGGAGGGTGTCGTATGAGTCGACTAAATTGATGCGACTGATACGTGATTGACGACAATCGCGTTGATAGATGTGTGTGGTTATGGGGGGAGGCAGGGTGTCGTATGAGTCGATTAAATTGATACGACCGATATGTGATTGACGACTTTTTCTCGACAATCTCGCGTTGATAGAAGTGCGTGGTTACGGGGGAGGCAGGGTGTCGTATGAGTCGATTACATTGATACGACCGATATGTGATTGACGACTTTTCTCGACAATCGCGTTGATAGAAGTATGGTATACATCAAGCGGATAAGCCTTTCGCGATGATAGACGGTGACTTGTTGGGTTCTGTGATGTCAATTCATTGAGTGAGGGAGGTGAAGGTAATGAGAGGGGAAGAGGGGAAGAGAAATGAAGGTGGTGGGAGAGTGTAAGAGTGAAAGAAGGGAAGAGAGGTGAAGGTGGTGGGATTTGAAGGAGTGGAAGACAATGATATGGACTTTGGAATAAAGAATGCTATAAAGAAGCGGTGAACAAGAAAACACGTGTTCGTAGCCTAGAAAAAGGTTAAGTGGATGTTTATGGAAGAGCAGATGGTCCGTGTTACTGTGGAACGGATTTAAATTACATCACCATGTCTTGTCTCCTTTAATAGAAGTGATCGGTTAGTTCCGCAGTCACTTGGATGTTGAGACATTATCGAATATCAATTGACACGAGTACATTAATTAAATATATTAATATATCAACGTTTTATGGCAATTTCACAATTACTAAAAACTCAAGTCTTATCGGCGGCATTGTTAGCATGTGCAACACATGATGATAAGGACGCAGAACAATAATAAGTAGCCACACCTCTTCCCCTCTAACAATAAAGACAAAAATATGTCTCCTCGACAATATAACAGCAAGGACAAATTATGTCCACCTAAAGACATTTTTATTAGCCCTTTTGCACTAGCAAGATATACCCAAGCTTTGGACAATATCTATGCGCCTTCTCTTTCAATATACTATAATAAAATATTAGTATTAGAGAGGCTTAATAAATCATTACCGTCCTCTCTTTCAATAAAATTGCCCAAGGGCCAAACGACAATATCCCACTCAGCAGGACGATAAAGCTGAGTGGTGAAGAAAAGGATGAGGAAGAGCGCCTTTTACCTCGCGGTCGAGGAAAAGAAGAAAAGGATAAGCTTTTTTTACCTTGCGAACCGAGGGAAGCCCTTCTACTCGCTGAGGGAAGAAGAAGAAAAACATCGGGGCAGGTTAACCATTATACCTGCCAAGAAAAATATGGTGTTATCACGACTGGCGGGAAGTTTCCCGGGGCGGCCGGGTGGAAGTGGTGATTAGTTTAAATATTATTGATAGACTATCCTGTCCGCATTGCTAGAAAAAATTATAGGTGCGGTGTTCTTTTCGTTATTTTCTTTTACATACTGTTCCAGTAGATCATTCTTCTTCTATTTCTTATTCATGTATTTCTTTCCAATATTGATTGGCACTTCAATCACATACTGTCAATAAAGATATCAATCTTTGGTATTTGATACATTAGTCCCAAATTTCGAATGAATAGCCCCCATCGTTTAAAGTGCGCTAAGATGAACAGGAGCAATACTCGGGAATTTCGCCAGAGAGAAATTCAGTCACGCTTGGTGTTCATAAAAAAAATTGTTATTTTTTTCCTCTATAATAATAATAATTTAATATACAAACATTCAAGAAATTTACTACCGGGAGCGGACGAGTTCGGCGAATTGCCAAATTCTGAGATTCTTGTACGGCTTAGAAGATAGCGATGGTAAAGTGTTCGGAAGGTATTATTTGTTCTTGTTAAGTTTTTCATTATATTCATTTAATTGAAGACAAAGAGATAAATAAAAAAATAGTCTCTACTACCTTCTCTCAAGCAATTCACACACTCTCTCAATAGGGGAGAGATAAGGCCGGACTCCCTGTCGCTTGGGCCAGTTATTATAGTGAGAATAGAACGGAAGGTAGATGAGCAGAGGAGAGATCTACACAAGTTGGAAGGGTATGTACAAGCAAGCACTCACAAGGTAATATAATAACTCAATATTTAACTCGTTTATTTCCTTCTTAGTTGTAATCTTCAAATAATAATGAATTTATTTTGCATCAATAAAATACACACTCACCCAATATGTTAGAATGATTGTATATACCGTAGAAATCGAAAAAGCCAAGGGATGAAAGAGCAGATTTTCACGTTATTGTTATTATTGGTCACCCTATAAGAAAAACAACGACACCATCCAATAATATGCATTGCCAGTAAAAATCCAACTCGGTTGGAAGATGCATAAAGCATTTTTGATTACATTATGTACCATAAATTGGAAGGTTGGCTCCTGGCGTTTTCACAGCCTCTTGATCGTTTCGGCAGCTTCTAGATGTAATGGAATAAAACAATAGTTACTCAGAAATGACACTACATACCAATTCCGTATCTCGTTCCAATTCAGGCTAAACCCTCTTTTCAAACTTGCTGGATCATGCAGTAGATGAGAAGGTAAAACCAAATTTACGTCCATGGAAGAACTTGATGCTTCAGTCATTCCTTTATAAATCAATACATAGCCTTACCTGATTCGTGTCTTCTAAGCCCATATGCTCGTTTTACAATCTAATCTTCCCACACCTTCACTTCTTATCGCCTTGTACGAATGACAACATATCATTCATTTCATTCAGCATATCCCATCCATTTATATATACAGTGTTATTCATATGTCTTTCAGTTTGTATCTGGTTCCTCTCCCGCCAGCCTGCATGATGGTGACAAGTTTTGCAGCTTTAGTGATTACATATATCATGATTGACAACTAACCTATTGCACATTTATCCATATGCCTTCCATACCCATCTTCTCAGTGACGGAAAATTTTCCCGTTCTTTTTTTGTATGTGTGCGTATTTGTGTGGAGGTGGGGTCGGGTGGTGAATAATATTGTGCCTTCCCATCATACATACCGCTTCGAGAGAGGGGGGGTTTGAGAGTATTATTTTTTTTGTCGTTGCTGACCTCTGGGTAGGGAAAGCGTCTCACTGTAAACAACAAAGAGGGGTGGGGACGATAAGTAAATTGGAAGGTGTGTTTCCATCTACCAGTACGCCAGTTACGACCACCCTATGTGTGGAATAACTTACTTGCGGCAGTATCCTGTCATCTGAGTCTTCCCTCACAAGATTCTTGATGATTCGTATTGCTAGAGATTAATATCATATACACGTTTGTTCCCTTCTGACGTTCCGATACTAAAATAAGAGCACTTATGCAATTTGTTGCTACAAGCGGGCACGATTTTGCTGAAAATTTATGATCCCGTCTTGCAGGAGAATTTATATATTAACCGCTCCTCTACGATATCTATAATCGTAAAGTGAAGTAAAAGCCTGATAAGAAAAAGTAAATATCAATGATACATAATACAACATTAGAATATGGATTCATGATTACAGTAAAACCGGAACCAAACTTTTAACGTATCTGCTCAGTTAACCCTTCTTGAAACCCCATATAGAACACAGAATTAACATAACGACTCACGTTTTTACAGTCCTTCAGTTGTATGTACAAGCGGAGCAGGACCTTGAAATTCAACGGTCAACATTCTTTTGCACTTTAATACGCGACCCATATGTGGATTTTTTTAATGGACCACTATTTTAATTATGAAAATAATCTGAATAAAGTCTTGATAATACACAAAGTTCGATCGTTATTACGGTGGAGAAATACAAAGGACATCCACCGTTAACGTGGTTTTCATAAAACTGTAAATATACATACTTAAATCAACGACGCCACATGATTAACTCGTGTCGATTTAATGTGAGCATCATTGATTACCTTCCTTGACGTTTGTGAATGTTCCTAGGCAAAATATAAGCGGTTCAACATGAGCATACATCATACATTCCATGTATTAAATAAACTTTTCCCAAACCCCAATTTCTTTAACCTACCAACCTTCCTTCATTTACTTTCCCAATGCTATTAGAGTGATAAGCTGTCGACTCCTACATTCGAAATCACCTCTATTCACCTCTAGTTTCATTTCTTCTTTACTCACTTATTTCCAATTTCTATATTAATATCTTACTGTCGAGCAAGTAGATCTTAGAATTGGACAAAATAATCGTAAGTTCATGGTGCCTGCCTTTATGGTTAGCAAATACCGAAAGATGTTTGATATTACTGTTAATATGAATTTAAATTTCTAGGGCTTTGACCCGCTACGTACCATTACGTTAGCAGATGATAAACCCAGATCGGTTCGAGCGGCCGGCGTGTGGTAATAGTCGATATGATCTATGCAGATTATGTAAGGTATAAGGTTGAGGTAGGATTGTTAGACTAGTCACATTAAAATTGTACTGCCAAGCTATCGGCATCACAATATTTTGTCTAACTTACCTCCATCTCCTCCGTCACCATTAACAATCTACCTGCCTCCCTCTCCTCCGTCGCCATTAACAATCTACCTGCCTCCCTTAATTCTTACGCAGTTCTCCTCCTCATGAAGGTATTCTTAATCTTTTCCTTGTTGATCGTATCAATCGTTTCCCAAAGTTTGCAAAACTCAAGTATTTCTCTCTAACCAATTATCTCCATTAACAATTTATTTCGTATTGTCATAGACGTGCGAAGGTATATCCCGTGGTTGGTTGAAGGAATTCACTTTTTCGATAAACTTGAATTTCGGATACGCCGCGGGGATTGACGGTTGTGCTGGGGGATGAGAACCGAATCAAGGAGGATAGTTGAATGTAAAAGATAAAGACTGATCAATTTTGTACGTGGATGTAAGCGATAAGTACATACATACAGTATCTGTATGTTGTATTATTAACATTATTCATTTCGTCATAACGACCGCGAAAACAGTATTTTTCGATCTCTAATTTCATATAACGGTAAATATTTTTCAACTAGAAAGAGAAATGTGCAAGTTCAGGAAAAGTAATTATCAAATTCATTGCATATCCAATCGTTCAGCCATGACAAGAACTTTGAACACTCGCCTTGACTAGATACTTCAATATCAGAAAAATACTGTATTATTTCCATTTCCATTGCTCCAACCGACCTCCAATGTTTACGAGTGCTGATGTCACGGAGATGATGCGTGAACATGCGATATCGATAGTAAATTCAGGTTAACACTTTCACTTTACGGTACAGAGCAGAGATCGTCCCATATAAGGAAAGTGTTGCACAATTCAACAAATCAAAAATTTTCCGAAAATAATGCCCCACTGTTTTTCACTGTTTATATTTTTCATTTACACACCTCCACACAAAGTTGTTACTGCGAACTGAAATTGTCGACAATCGCCGTAACCTCTAGCATCCTATTGCTAAAGGTTGTGTAGCTAATCGCTGCAAAAAAAAAAGTAAGCAAACTTGCAGGGCAAAAGTCTAATTATTGCTTGAATCCCAGCCATTGCTTAACGAATACCCTAAGGTTAAGCATTCCACGGGGTGTGAATCCACACAAGAGATTCTAAACAGCAGAAACTCCCCAGCCTCTTCCGTCTCTCGCCCACAGATATAGCGTGCTCAGCGGATATTATTATTATGGTATTGAAATCACCAGCTCGTTTATCTTTACTTGTATGTATTAGTATATACAATTATAGTAACCGTTGAAATCTCCCTCTATTTGATCAGATTATATCCAATTACCAAGAGTCTTGGAAGAAGGGCTGCTACAATCATGGTAGATAATAATAATTCGATGACGGTGGGAAGTTATTCTATTGCAATATCTGTTATATGATGCATTTGATGATGATGGAATGCGAGACTTGCTTCAAAAAAGAACGAGCCTAGCCTAAAGGCTTTCTTCGACTTGCGGTCGACCAACGGAACGCAACGAGCAAACGAAAAAAGTGGTTTAGAACGAAACGGTTGATGAAGTTAGAGCCTGCAAAAATATCATTCTTAGAACTGTAAAAGATGTTCTTTATTTACACTTGAAAATAATAATAAATGTCATGGCTGATGCTCGAGGCTGATGCTGAAATCCTGAAACCATGACCTTTCATTGGTTTATTCTCTAACCCCATTGGTTAGTTTCAGATTTTAGCGTTAGCAGCTCCCACAATAAATGTTTCGTGTAGTATGAACATTTTGACTTTTATGGATTTCTCGCCAGCACTAAAACGTATTCTTTCTGGGAATTAGGCCGGAATTTTCTTGTTCCAAATCGGAGTTTTGTATTTGTACAACATTCATGTAGGTAAAATCCTCCCATTCTCAGAAATGTTGCTATTTTTTAATTCCTGGATTACCGGCTTGAACAACGATTTCTGGTTTCAAGAGTCAGTGTTACGGATAATTTACATTGATAGAGAAGTATGCGATTGGAAGATGTACTATATTTCAATAAATTTTATTTTCTATAACTAATTTACATATATTTTTCATTGAGCATATTAAAATTTTCACCGTGGTCTGAAATGGTTTCCCATTCTTCAACCATATATTGTTTTAATCCACCAATTTCTTGCACGTCTGGACAGGACTATTGCATTGTTATCGATAAACCTTTGCAACAAGCTTCAAGTCTTGCGCTAACCATGTTTTTAAAGCGAAACAGTAAAAGATAATTGTTTATATAATTAATAAAATGTAAACAAATAAAATAAGTATTAATGTAAGGATCGCGTAACAAACGCGTTTTGTTGTTTTTTCTTTCAATTCTCAAATACGGGAATGCGGATTTCAAAATTTACGTGGTTTTTGGGGGTATTTCGTTACTATTACACGCTTTTTGTCCCCACCATTACGTTACACACTGAGCAATAGTCAGGGTTGATAAATACTAATACTAAAATAACAACGTCATAAACGATTTTTTAATTTGGATGAAAATTGTTGCCGAGAATTACAATGTCCCACTCTACAACCAACGGGAAAAGGCCAATTCAAAGAGCGTTAAATATGCCTTTTGGTCGTGTTGGATATGGAATCTAGTTCTTGTGTAAAAATAATTCTTCTTTGAAGGAAAAGTGATCCAGCGATTGAGTCAGAACCATTCGATGGGCAGGTATAACAGTTTCTGGACGCTTCTCCGTATAATTTACGCAACCACGGGAACAATGCGATGAGAAGATGAATATTATTCATTCGTATGAATGTCCGCTTTTTATGTCTCTCGAGCTTTCTCCATCCCATCATCCTTAATGCTTTCTAGATCAGCATTACAATTACTGACTGCGAATCAGCATTATGCAATACTCGGATTGGATGGAGGCTGCGGGTAAAACTGAAATTTAAGAATTCGAGAAAGATTGGGTTTATTATTTCAAATGGGAACTTTGAGTTATGTCGAACGGACGGGATTGGGGAGAGAGGTCTAAGGAAGGGATGTGTGGATATAGAAAAGAGATTTTATCCGAATAAAACTAGCTCGGCGGTATGGCACTGTACAAACCGCTTGGTTAGTGTATCGAAACTGAGACAATAATGCGTTGAAAAGTAAGGCAAACGCGTCAATATCTCTTAAATGCCATCAGAACGTCTGGTGGAGTGTCTGGGAAAAGAACCGCTAACAAATCGACAGTGACACAAATATTCGATTTTACAGGACCTTTATTGACAACTAAAGAAAACTGCTAAAGCTGCTCTTAGACAGCAGTACAAAGCTATCTAAAAGACTAACTGAATCAATAAAGGCCTAAAGCCAGGGAATTAGTTGGTAATATAATGTTAGGAGAAGGGAGAGAGGATATAACTTCATTGTTAATGATAGATAGATGGCCAGGAAAGATAGATTTATGGTATAGTAAAATGTGATAAAAGGAGATGACGACATAAATATTTAAGTTGTTTATAAATTCGACTATAGATGTCAGCAAACTCTGGAAAGTCGTCCATTACGTCGTAGCCTTTATGTCCGGTATGATTATGATTATGATATAATTATGATGTCACTATGATGTCTATAAGTATCATTTTCGTCAGATATCGCCCATAGATATAACGTTCAATTTTAGAGAGGTACATACATCAGCATATCTACTGCCTTGTGTTTGTAAATTCATTCAAACATATTAGTCTCTATGTTCCGATACTGGTTCGCACAATTTGGAAATTAATTACGCCACAATTCATATTTGTCAAGTTACCCTGAAGATCACCAGCTTTGAGTGCACTAAATTTTATGCATAATTTTTGTTCCGATGACTAAGACTTTATACAAACATTCAACAGTGACGCTAATTCCGTGTTCTCGGCTCTGCTAGTGTAAAAAAGAAGAACAATGTTTCAGAAATTGACCGCTAGTATTTTTATTAAACATATTGTTCTATAATTCTGACCCTAAACCTATTTTTTAACTTACACGCAATTGTCGAGAAATTAAAATAGATATTTTATAATGCATCCTTGCCATCGTCAACCAGTTGGTGACCCATCAAGAACGTACTGTAGGGCTTCATGTGCGGAAAGACAAAAAGGATGTTTATCTACCTTGTACGAAATGAGATTGGGTTATGTAAACATTAGGTTAATGGAATCTAGCTAATCCCTAAAAAACTGTTGGCATCAATATGTACATATAACAATGAAACAGAAATCATAATCATAAGGCCTACCCATCATGGCAACGGGCATGAATAGTAAATCCAGAACGTGTGACGGCCTATCAATCTACTCTTTTATTTCCATCATCCATCAAACATGAGAATTCACATGTGCATTTTTAATTCCAATGTCGGTCCTTACGTAAAATTCATTGTTTATCAAGTCAAACGTCTCGAGACAGTTATCTAGTCGAAGTAGTGCGCATTCCTGTTAGTTTTTGAATGTCAGGATTTGCAACGTCGGACCTAGAAGTATTAATTGCTTGAGCGTATGGTGGAAAAAGAGTGGGAATATAGACTCAAGAGCCCACCAAATGATGCCTACAGAGAATCTGCTATTGAGTGTTACTCAATCCTTAAACTATTACGTAATCTGCCCCAGACCCGATTAATGTTCACGGATCAAAAGAAATCCTCTAGTTCCTAGTTGTTATAAGCCAGAGAGATGTATAGTCAGCATCTGAACGATAATTGTTGATAAAGTCACCAAAAAAGGCAGTGAAACGTTACCAGTTCCGGAATATACGGTATATCCCCGTCTGAGCGTTTTTTTCTTCTTCTTCACTGGACCGACAAAGTCTTCGGATTCTATATATTTTCCCCATGTTTTCATTCTTCGTGCACACACACACGCCATGTCCACGTTCAGATCGACACGTGCAATGTAATAAACGATATTGACTGAAGCATTTATCGTTTTATTTATTTGCATCTAGAAGATATTCAATAATCTGATGACCATAGACAAGATAAAATAACATGTGAGCAACAAAAATACAATAAAAGTATAGAAACAGCTGTAAAAAACTCACCTTACAATTGAAATCGCATTTGGGATATGCCGAGGCCCTATTGATTCACTGAGATGGAAATCGTATGGGTCGAGTATACTGCGTGTTGACGTATGACGGAATATACAGTATAGTAATAGTAATTAATAATTAATAATAATAACACTCGATATTTAACATTAATTTGTTAACATACCAGCTGCATTTATAAATTCGTATTGTTTTTATCGATATATTGATCAAATTGTTGAGGCGGTGTTGTAAAAATACTACGCGCTTTTCGTCATAAATTTTCTCGAATTATAATCCTTTCCTTCGGTCTCCACGTAGGCATGCGCCATATTAATGTTGACCTCCGGACCACGTTCCTCGCAACTGAACAGAAATACAAAATAGTGATAAATATAATGCCAACCGTCTTCAGTGTGCGGTCATGTAAATTTTCTTTCCTTACTTTAATAAACACGTCCTTAGCCTCATGGACTCTACCCTTTTGCCACTGCAACTCTATAAAAAGTAAAGCGTTGCTTTCTGATATGCACGCGCTCTTTGTCATAATCACTCCTTTCTTGTCACTCGTTGCGTTTAACTTGAACCATCCCATAGCTGCCAATGCTAGATGTTATGTTTACCGCTTCTCAAATCCGTGTCGGGCTGTTCGATAGTGATATTGTGGCAACAACGTCGGTGCCGGTTTTTCAAGGTCAGAAATGATCTCTTTGTAGATTTATTACGGTAGTTGCGATCTTGATATGCTTAAGTTCTGCAGATACTCTTGTCTGGTTTGAGGCCCTGAAGATAAATATCCTTATCTAGGCGGGTTCCGATTCATACGGACAATTTCGGTATGTATTTCCTTTGCTTCGTCATTTCATCCGGTGTTGTATATTATGCCATCATCAGCTGAGTCCGGAAGAGATTGTACAGTCTCAAAAGCTTTATTAAAGTAGTCCAAGACATCATTAAGAAGCTTCTGTCTCTGTGAGTTTGATGTTGAAAAGGAACGACGATACAGTTCGTTAGCTCACCGCATTGTTCGCCGCTTTCATGAAAGGCCGTCGCTTTTTATACAAGTTCCAATCTTCCCATAATCGAATAATTCGATATGAATGGTCGGGTCTGTCCATGTTTATAGTTTTGAGAGCGCAGAGTCAGTTCAAGTTCTATATAAATTTCTTCTTTCTGCAGAACTCGTTCGAATTTCTCTTTGTCCAGGTTATATTAAACCAACACTGACCGAGCTGGAATATTGTTATAAAACGCACAACAGTTGGTAGAATGAGAATCGACATCATGTTTGTTGTTGCGGTAAATATCTTTGATCATTCGGAGCCAGTTGTCTACTATTCCGTGTTGGCCGGTAGAGATGTCGATAATGGTAACAATCCAACTCCAACAGCTAACGCACGCGAACACTACATGTTGCTTTATAAGACAGGAGGAATAGTGAATGTTAACCGTCAAATAATATAGAATGAGAGTAATTAGATGCAAAACAGTGTTCATAGTACTCATTTTACCTTTTTGCCAAGTAACTTAGTTAAAAACTTGACAGGGAATTTGCCTTTAATTTTACTTCATTCCGATCTAATTTGCGTGCAAGAATACAATAGCAGAAGGCTTTCGTCACTTTGTAATTCCTGTTCGTAATCACTCGTTTTCATCCCATACTCTAATCTACACACATTAAACCATGCATGCCTCTCGGAGTCTTTACCTGTATCCGCTGAGGAAAACGGCTTGCTGTATTAGAATATCATACACGATATTGTGTTTGCTGATCACCATTTGTGAAACAAGATATTCACCTTGCTCATACTAATAGTACGCGATGGGGTTTTATTAGTTACAAGATATTGATATTTTCCATAGGTCACTTCGTTGAAATTGAGAACACTCTTGATTATTTATTTAATATGTTATTTGGTACATCATAATAATTAATACAATAGATAAATGAATAAATTGATATTGATATTCCAGACGCTGTTTTTTCAATGTCTGGTTTTGGGTCCTATTACTATGGCCAATAATTATACGAGGGAGGTGCAAAGGCTCGAACCGCCATCCGGTTATACCATCCCCCGTTGTGCTGCCTGGTGCCGTTTGCGTGTTGCTTTTTTCTTTTGCCCTTCCATTCGGTCGGAAAATGTAACTATTAGCACAGAAACAGTAGAAAGATTAGAAGATTTTCGTACAAGCAGATTTACGATATTCGGGTATGAAAAAAAAAAACTTACAAGGCGGCATCGGACCGCCAGGAAAGAAAGAGACGCATAATAAAATCTTTGCGTCCCATTCAGCACGGTGTTGTACCTCACCGTAGAACACCGAGACCAAATAGTAGATGAACTCTGAGGAAAAATAATTGAATGGTAAATATTCTATTCTAAACTTGTAGCAAATATAAGCGTGTAAAATCTGCTATCTAACTTACGTTCGTCATCATTAATTGCGCCCCGTTCCCATTGATGGGTAATGCTGCAAAGCTGCTATAAGCTTGCTTTTTTTTGCTTTCCGTGCCGTTCATCCCGTTGATGGGTAATGCTGCAAAGGCTGTTATAGCTTGCTTTTTTTTGCTTTCCGTAAATTGCGTGCGGTTCTCGTTGGCAGGGTATGTTGGGTGGTAGTAGTAGTAGCGGTGGTAGTAGTAGTAGTAGTAGTAGTAGTAGTAGTAGTAGTAGTAGTAGTAGTAGTAGCGGTGGTGGTTGTTGTTGTCGTCGTCATTGTTGGCAGTCTTTGCTATTTATTGAGGAAATGCGCAACAAGTTGAGAATTTTCCGATTGTACGGTACGTGAAGTCATGCAGTATCACCAATTCTCAGGGACTCGCAGCAAAAACGAGAAACCTAGCAAGTATTCATGGGAAATAAATGTATCAGCTGATGAATTGGGATTTCCATAAGATCCTTCTACGCAGGTGACAAGTGATACAAAAGACTGATCGGATTGGATACAGCAAGTGAATGCGGAACCATCATCCATAAGTGTTAGTCTAAGTTATATAATGTAATATGTATGATTAATGATCGTATCCAATCCTTTAGTCTTATGCGCCCAATGACGGCAAAATGACTTTGTTATCTTGCATAGTCCAAAAATAATTGTTATTCACTTCAATTACTCTTTCGAGCTAAGGTGGGATTTATTTCACGTGATTATTATAAATATGGAAATTAGTTTTACTAACGCTAAACGTAAATCATCATTTTCATCAAGTTTACTCGGTCAGCATTCCAAGACAATTTGAATTTTGCTTGTTTATTGTTTATTAATAACAAAAGTCTAACGATGTTTCGTTATGCATCGAATCCGGGAGGTAATACAGAAGTCGAAGCAATAAAAGAAACAACCAATATAATACTAACTTAATGCTAAAGATTGGAGATATTTGCTTACATTCGTAGAACAATAATGGGCGATCATATTGAATCAAGTTGTCAATTGCATCACAATCATGTAATCATTTGTTGATGGTTGTTGTATAATGTCACAAAATTTAAGTAATTTGTATGGAGCACACGGCGAAATTTATAGGATACACCGCACGGGAATACATCGGGGTATCTCACATGCTCCGATGGGTTGTATCCAACACGCAAGTTGTTGTTGGATTTCCAGCTCCCAAGAAACACTAAACGGAGAAGACTAACTGTTGTCGTTTGCTTGAACATATATCTTCTGTATATCCGCGTATTTACTTGCATCGTACGTGTGCATTCGAACGATACAAGTTACTGTCCATCTGGTATTTTTGGAGGGTTATGCAGTATCGAGGCGGTACCAGGACGGCCGGAATCTCCAATTTGTTTGGTTAGACTTACTTTCTTCCGGCGTATATCGTTGCGTCAAAGATGAGCCTCTGGAATCGCAGCGACCGACGTTAGTACCACTACTTAGGACCCACGATCAACAAGATGCTGGCGTTGGTTTGTCTACAAAGTCATTGCTGTGAATCTTTCCATTGTCTTCTTCTTCGGTTTCATCTTCACAGTTCTCTTCTGTATCCTCTTCGTCAAAGTCATTGCTGTGAATCTTTCCATTGTCTTCTTCTTCGATTTCATCTTCACAATTCTCTTCTGTATCCCCTTCGTCACTATTTTCAAGTTCCGTGACGAGTGGGAAAGGTCTGTTTAAAGGTCCACCCACCACTCTTTTCTCCATGACTCTTTGTGGACGGTCACGTATCTCGTCTCTTTCACTACAAACCGCCTTGCTGCGTATGTTGCAAAGGCGTGACGTGCCATGGTTAGTGTCAGTAGGCGGAGTTTTAAATCATAGCAGTTTGCAGAGAATGACATGGAATAACGATAAGTTGCGTATAGCATCTTTGGGATATGCCTCTAAGGGTCAAGTGCTATCCAAATTTGTCTTTTTATATAAGTAAATGCTTGATAATATAGTTATCCTGGCAGGGCGAATAGTAATTCTCTAAAACACCCCCTATCATCGATACGAATATTGACATTTTCATACCCACACACAAAATAACTAATTTAGTGTGGATCGTTCCACTTGCACGTCAATGAATAACCTTAACAAGCAAAGAATGTGAAATTTACCAAAAACAGATTATGCAGTCAACAGTTGTGCTACGAGCGTTTGCTGGCTGTCTGCTCTACACTTGTAACAAATGGCATATGAAAGTTTCGATCCTCGCATATACGAGGGACTATAGGATAAACTCAAAAGAGATAAGCTCAATACACAGCCGTTGCGTCTGTTGTCCCCAAAAAATCTTAATAAGATTTGGCTTCAAACAAGGACTAAACGCCAATATTGTGAATACTATCAGCCAGCTCTTTTTGGGGGTATACTGATAATCGATAGTGTTGGTAGATACATTAATTACTGTGTGTTACCGTGTGTAGTGACGAGTATATTATCTCTCTTGCATAATCTATCGGATCAGACGCCAACTCGTAAACGAGTTGCTAAATTTGTCATTGGGACATTCAACCTGAAAATAGAAAGGTAATAGCAATTTTACACGCGACACAAAAAACGCCAAGCATCATATTGCCATTCAACATTACCCCAAATATAAAGACGGAAAAGGATATCGTGCTTTAGCATGCAGATACATATGCTCATCAGCCCCATCTGTACACTGGTTATCGAGTTTTGTACAGAACAAAGAAAATAAGGCCATTTCGGAAAATTGGGTCCGGTCCTAATGCGAACAATAGAGCAGTCATTGGAATTGTGGATACTCCTAACTACGCCTAACGAACACCCCACTGTTAAAGAAGTACATATATAATGACATGATAAAATCCAGATTCTGCACCAAAGCAAAACTAAGCATTTCGCTACACGCAAACAAAGGCGGGCCTTTAATAACATGAAAACATATACCGCTAAAATTTAAACTTTATGTAAATCTGTTCACTTTTCTTCAAAGACACAGAAACACATACACTATCAACAAGATTCAGATTTTGTATAAACCTTTTCACTTTTTTGCAGTCGACATATGTCATTTTTGGATTTGACGTCTTTACGCAAACCTTCTCACTTTTTTGTGTCAATATCCAACATACGAGTCGACCGTATGTCATTTTTGGATTTGACGTCTTCACGTAAACCTTTTCACTTTTCTGCGTCAATATCCAACATACGGATTTGACCCACCTCACCACAAAAGGGCCGGCCGTCCAACCACATTTAAAGCCCGTGACTCTCCCCTGCCACCAAGCAAGCCTTCCGTACGAAACAGCAATACCACGTTCTACGCACATATCCAAGACAGGGATATGTATCGGATATTGCGGAAGGACTTAAACTGAGTGTAATCTCAACGGAGGAGACGTTTCGATGGTTGCCGGACGAGTATAAAAAATATATTGGATGAACATCACCCCGACAGCCGGCTGGATTTCAATTAATAATAATAATGGGACCAGAAAAAATTATCTGGTTCCAGAGGTATACATACAAGCCGATGCGCAATAGATATTAGATTATAAATGTTATTATCATGTTTTAGATTAGGAAGAAAAAGAAGAAGCAAAATTTTGATTATTTGATTAATAATAATAATATCAATTACGAAAGTTAATATAAATAACTAGTTGTCATATGTATTCTTAAAAAAGATTTGTCTATAACTTAGTCGATTAAAAAATATTTGTCTGTAACTTAGTAGATTAAAAAATATTTGTTTATAACTTAGTCGATTTAAATGGGTCAATAAATTTTGTTATCAAACATTTAAAATTACCACACGTATATCTCGTAGTCAATTATGCATGTCTTTGAGTCGTTAGATTTAAAACGCGAAAATTAAAAATGACTTTTTTATTTAAATCACCAACTAAACAATTGAATATCACTATAAGTGTTAGCGTAAATATCACGGAATTTGATCCGCCAGCCAACTTAGTGACTGGGACATCCAATCCCCACACCTCCTTTTACCTATTCACTATCTACAATTTTTGTCTCTTCATCAACACCGACACATATTTTCCCTGGTCCACCTTGAACCGTGCATTTCGATCATAGACGCGTTGCCATTAATTCCATGGAACCATCCCTGATATAACTCTCTCATGATAGGATCGACAAGCGACCTGCAGACAAACAAGATATATTGACCGACTCGTGCAACTTATGGTCGTATTAATAGCTGCAATACTGAGGTTTCTGGAGAACTATATAGCATCAGGGATATAATAATATTGTTCCGCAATGGATAACAATAATGAGCACACGATCATATACAGAGAGCGCGTCATTAAAATGACGGGGCGTGTATTGACATTATACGTAGAAAGTATACCATATTGGTAGCAGGGATCGAACCTACGAACTTGGCGTAATCAGCACCACGCTCTGTCCAACTAAGTTACGATGATGTAACGAACGAATTTTGTGCTTAATTCGTAACACATTATTAATCAGCGTGTGACTATCGACTACATCTTTCCTCACTACATTTCCTGGGACTGGCACAGTTATCATACCATCGTGCGGAGAAGATATTGAAGTAGTTGACATGGATTATTGAGAAGGGAAAATACAAATCACATTCTTTTATATGATTAGCATACGAATCACGTAAAAACGCTTCTCTCCCCAAACCCGGTTAATCTAAAAGTTATAAAACAAAAAGGTATAAATCAGAGTCTGAAATAAGGTTGGTCAATAGATGTCACTACAAATCGCAATATTTCATACTTACTAAATCCCTGATAACAAATATAATCGGGGATTCCCCACTTGTGAAATTTAACATTGCGGACGGGAACTACGTTTTCGATTCCACTGTATCTGCATAAGAAGACAGTTTCAGTTAGAGAATGTAGTATCAGACGGCGTTCCCTTATCATATCTTTCTATTGGATAAGTCTCAAAGTATTCGCAAAGTCTTATGAGATTCCGGAGGATGCGGAATGCCATTAACCATTTGTTCATACAATAACTGCATTCTCCTGTACCTTTTCTCCGGCACTACCGCGATCCAGAGTACCTGTTCAATTTATTTAATTCCATTAATAATCCCACACTTGCCTTTAGCCAAATTAACGAGCACACACCCTCTCAACCTTTCCACTCACCGCATAAAACACAACTCGGTAAAAGATCATTGATCTGTTCTAGAATTATCTCCCTTGTACTCCTTATCATGGCCATGGTATTGATCTTTGCTTTCAAGTCGATCAGATGAGTTTCCACCGCGCAAACGATTTTCAATTCTGAAAGTAAATTTGGGGCGACAGTCAGTTGAACGTCTTGCAAAATGAAACAAGGAAATTGCAAACGGGGTAACTGAATGATGCGACTTGGATAAATGGATTTTTTGTGGTCGTCCGTAACGACAAAGTAAATTGTTCTGTCACTCACCGCACAAACACAACTTGGCAAAAGATCCACAGTCATTTCACTAATCTGTTTCAGAATTATCTCTCCTCGTCTTTTTATCATAGCCATAGTATTGATCTTTGCTTTCAAGTCGGCCGATGAGTTTCCGTCGTGTAAACGATTGTAGACTACAAATTCCGTTCCATAATTATCTCCTCGTAATCTCTCGTCTTTTCATCATAGCCATGGTATTGATCTTTGCTTTCAAGTCGGCCGATGAGTTTCGTCTTGCAAACGATTTTCGATCTACGAATTCTGAAAGTAAATTTGGAGCAACAGTCAGTTGAACGTCTTGCAAATGAAACAAGGAAATTGCAAACATAACATTGCTGAATGATGCGACTTGGGATAATTGTAAATTGCTCTGTCATCTAATATAAAATTTACCGAGTGTTTGTGGTAGTCCCTTCCAAATAAGCGCTTGCTGATTCTTCCTAAATATCAAATTGATCTAATAAACTAATTATCAAAAATATTATGTTCAGGACTCGGCTTTCGTAATCTACTTACTTGAAATCCCAAGAACGGGCGGAGCATCCAATTCGTAAAAAGTAATAATTAGTTCCAAACGCTCCTAACAGAATAGTCTCTTATGGGAGAGCCATGCTGCATACATCTGCATGTCAAAAAATGCGACGTTAACTAATCAGTCGTTATAAAACAACGGCAATTTAGACAAATCGACCTAGGTTACCATTGGTCCAACACAAATCAACTTACATCACAAGTAGCAAGGACAGATCCTTTTACATTTTTGCAATACAACAAATTGAGTGCTTGTGGAGTGTCGGGTTCTCAATATCATATACGTAAACCTATTAAGAAGGATATTTCATTAGAAGCGTATAAACGTAGAAGCGTATAAACGTGGAAGCGTTTCTTATAAATATAATTCAATATAATCATACAGTTCCACGCATTCCGACATCCTCTCCTCCGAAGTATACTCTTCCAGTAATAACTCTTGCAGTTCTGCAGACTGATGCATTTGATACAAAGACCTCCATTGAAATAAAGTCTATTTCCTGGGGGGAAAAAGGATATAAGGGTAATTTCTGATCAATACTTTTATTTCATGTTGTGATTAAGACTCAATTATTCAACTAACCTGTCGACTACCTCCCAGGTAACAGCGAGATGAGTTCAAGAAGAAATTTTTGGTCGGCTGAAAAATTGAAATCCAAGAAATGTCAATTCAGATGGTAAGATTAATCTTACAAACTATAGCACTCTCCAACGTTCAATAGCTCTCCAGGATTGCGACATGTAACACACCAACAGTTTTCCGTTGTCGTGGCTGACGATAACAATGCTGAATTTGCATATCTGGATGATATTCTATACCGCGGACTGACACCCCCCAAAATTCATCTTTTTCAAGAATATGAATGCGCATAATTAATAGTCATCTATGTAATAGTTAAAAAGATACTAGATTATAATCACAAATTCGTAAACATCCTCTACTGTAATCAATCGAAGACCTCCACCAATTCATAAAGTTAAACCTACCTCAACATTAGAGTATAAAACTCGGTGAATATAGCTAACATTATGAAATTGTGCAAAGGGCGCGGAAGATAGTAGAGTTGATGATACTAATACCATTACTATTATGAAATTGAACCAAATGATTCAAAAGATTTTGCACATATAACTTTATTTTATTATGGTTGGTGATACAGCTTCCATAAATGTTTATACTGCATGTGTTTATAAATCTTATATAAAGATAATCAGATTTTTACATCTTCGTTGTATACAACTCCTCTTGCAAAAATGACTAGAAATTGTCATTCCAGAAATACTACACATACTGTTATAGCTAAATATATTAAGACAATTGAAAACAACCACTTAGTATAATTCACTAAATCAAGTATTAGTATTAAAAGACTTACAAGTACAGAACTGAGAAGTAAACATACAAAACGTGGGCTGGTACCGTTGGGCAACACCGTGAAGGTGCTGGCTCGTTTCCAACGCGACAAACGTTAATGGGCACTCATCTGACTTGGACTAAAGCTAATACGAAAGGGATGAAGCGGCTTTTCAAATATCCGAGGTGGTAGACTAAAGTCACGGTGTGGAAGGATACGAAGAGTCGACGTTGAGTTCCCTATACTCGACGTTTCCAAACTTCCGGGCGACCAAATCCTGTGAAAACTGTGGATACTGTATGCGCAGAGTGCCATAAGCCCCGGAGTCAATATCAGGTCACGTGGACTACAGGGAAAAGCTATCCCATCGAACAATCAGAGATAGACTGAAGATTATCCAGCGCCGCAGTCGACAGTGGTAGTACAGACAGCGGATCAGGCTATGAAAATGTAAATAATTCGCATTAAAAGAAATAAAAAAGGAACATTACTAAAAATAGTAGAACATTAACACCACCAAAAGGAGCTCTTACTTGGAATTTAAAAGAGACACTTAAGTAGCTCGAGAAATCGCCATGTTCATTTCAGTACTCAATCTTTGAGTAAAAGCGCATTTTTATTAGCTTTCTTTCAATAATTATTGTATTTATCAATAGAGTAGCTCTCCGATACTCTAATAAAATTGTATGATTATTATATACTATACACGTAATGGATTAATTGGTTGTCCGTCAAGTATTGGCTTGGCATTACATTCCGATTGCTCATAAAATACCCAACAATCGGTAGAAATGATAATCGAGGATTGGCATATACAAGACCAGACACACTAACCGTGGATATTACTGTAAATCCAATTTCAAAGAGAGTTGCCAAAAGCCTCGTTGGAAATAGCTAGATTCAACAACGTCGATAGTCATTTGGCTCGACACTATCAAACATTTGTGGGAAGATGCATTCATGCGAATTGGAATCTCATTATTATAGAATTAATGAACGATAGAATAGAAGCTGCTATCAAATCAAATAGCAATTTAACTATTAATAAACATGTTTGCTATATTATTTTGGGAGTTTTTATAGAGCTTCATAATTTTTGCTCACTTTAAGAAAAATATTATCTGTTTATATTTTTAAAACAATAATAAATTTCTTTTAACATTGGAATTTTTACAAACGCTCATTATGCAAAGTAGTAGCTCAGCCTAACGAAATTTGGAAATTTACTTTTGTTATCGATATGAAACACGGCATCCCACTTATTATCTATACTAATAATCGATTGTCCCGAAAAGGCGACAGAAATAAACGACTTCTCATGTGTATTACCGTACAGCCACCCCCTTTAACTATTTGGGGTGCTTAGGTAATAATATCAAGGTCTTATGCTCTTTATTGTTAACTATACATGGATAAACAATGGTCAAGCGCTGCCTGTTAAAGAATGTTCAGTGAAATCACAGATTATCGTAGAACTAACATCTAAAACCATTGTTTGACAAGTTTCCTTATTCTAGTTAGCGCAAACTCATTTTCTGTGTGTTCTTTATTTGGAAATCCAACAATGCGGACCCCCTATTTGATTATGATGCGAACCAGGAAGACCAAATTATCGCTTGGTCTAAAACTCTAAGCTGTTCCAAAAATATTGTCAGCATTACCAAGAGAAGTCGATACATTCTAAGTTTTACCTCAAACCAAACCGCCTTGCGATTTTCCCACCCACATTAGCCACAACCAGCACAGTTAAACTACGCGACTGTCGCCTTTGCACCGTCTTAGCTTAATACCGGAACGATAACGCTAAAGGCATAATAATAAACCTCAGTTCGTACTTGAATTAGAATAATATAGCCAAGATGATGCCAAACAACAGCAGAGGGAACGTGCAAAATCATCGTCAAAATAGTTACGACAACAGTAACAGTTTTCCCCGCCGCGGTGGTGGATATGACAACGGTCGCGGTGAATACAATAGTGGTCGCGGCGGATATGATGGTAGTCGTGGGTATAACGGATATAGTAGATTTGGCCAGCAGCTAGACCTAAAAGTTAGCAACTTGCAGTCCAATGCTACATTGACTGAACTGAGAGAATTTTTCTCCGGTTACGGCCATTTAGATAAAATCACTATGGACACAAGTGGATTAGGCACTGTCTTCACGGGGACAGTATATCTCGTCTACAAGTAAGTTTCGTGTTAATTAAATACGTATGTTTGATTGATTTGAGTAACGATGATATGAATAGCAATATAATTTATACTGTTTTCTCGTTACTAAAGACCTCGCCCAAAAACGGATTTTTGGAAACACAATATAAGATTTCATGGCAAGAAATTGCGGATAGAGATTACATCCAGACCTGGAACAAACTTCTCAAGTGAAAGCAGAAATCAAGATTTCCTGTTGGCCGAGTCTTTGGAAATGGGTGTATTCCTTGAATTGAACACCTTCGTTAAAGAGTGGAAAACAGACAATGATGTAAAGTTTAAGCTGAATTACGCAAGACGCAGCTTTGAAGTTGAATTTGGTTTCACTAGAGGGAACGGAGGTAAGACGTATAGATTCCGACTGGAAACTTATTTTAACGACGTCGAGGGTGAGTTCCATACAGAACTCGATACACAGAACGAGCGCGCGGTAACTACAATACGAACCAAGTATCCGCCAAAACTATCCTTCCTGGACAAGAACCTTAAGACGAACAATCAATTTACATGGAATTTGATGGAGTGTTGGACAAGGAAGACGGCTCTCCGGGTAGAAAAGCTTAGCGACGAAGAGATGCAACAACCGACGATGCCTTCATATCCAAAAGCTACAGGTGAAGAACTTGGAAGATGGTACGCGTACAGGATTACGTTCATCCAGGATAGTGGAGTCGACAACCTTAAACGCGTGTTGTTAAAAGCTGCTGGTTACAATCTTGTACCAAAGGAAGCCATGTTTTCCGGACACATAACGATGATTGATGGAAGCAACCTGAAAAAATATGTTGATAGGTCAATGCTGGACTTTGATGTACTTTACATGTTGGAATGTAATATTACGCATGGTTACTTACATGATTACAATCTCAATAACGAATTCATGGACTTGCTTGCTCGACAAAAGAAAGAGACAGCTCTTAGCATTTTACATAAATTCCACCAGCGTAAACTGAGAATTTATGATCCTCTTTCACACTTGAAACTTGAAGTTGCAAAGCTTCAAGGCGGTGACAATCGGCAAGAGACGGTACCCTCGTACTGTGTCATGATGCGAAAAGTTGTCATTACCCCTTCTAAGATGTATATATTGCCGCCGACCATAGAAACTAGCAATAGAACAATAAGGTACTTTAAAGACCACAAGGAACGTTTCCTAAGGGTCCAATTCAATGACGAAAACGGAAGGCTTCCATCGGCGAATGGAGATAACCATGTCGCAGCCTACAATCGGGTTCACCGTACTCTCATGAACGGGATTCAGATTGGAAATAGGAAATACGAATTTTTGGCCTTCTCTTCAAGCCAGCTACGAGATCGTTCTTGCTGGTTCTTTGCCCCTACAGAGGCATTATGCGCTGATGATATACGCAATTGGATGGGGAATTTAAGTGACATCAAAGTAGTGGCAAAATACGCTGCACGCATGGGACAATGCTTTTCAAGTACTCGCGCCGTGACTCATCTACCTGTGAACGATATTCGATCAATCAATGACATTACGAGAAACGGATACAATTTTTCCGATGGTTGTGGCAAGATTTCACGAGCGCTATGCCAACAAATTGCCGAAGTTCTTGATTTAAAAAGCATTCCTTCTGCTGTCCAATTCCGTCTTGGTGGATACAAGGGTGTTTTATGCATGTCTCCGCATGTCCGGGAGAAGCAAATCCAGGTGCGGCCAAGTCAGCGCAAGTTTGATTCACTACATACGGAGCTGGAAGTGATAAGGGCGTCAACATTTTTGCCTGCATATTTGAACAGGCAGGCTATTACGCTCTTATCCGCGCTCAAAATCCCCGATAAGGTATTTGTTGATATGAAAGATGCGCAAGTAGAAAATCTCGATCGAATGCTACAGAACGAACATAGTGCTATGCAAGTATTGTTACGGTATATTGACGAATGGGGTTTCTCACGTCGATTAGCTGGTATGGTCAGAGCGGGCTTTATGCAACAACAGGACCCTTGGTTAGCCAATTTATTATCGCTATTTCGTATATCTTGTCTTCGTGATCTCAAAAATAAAGCGAAGATATTTGTCAACGGCGGAGCCTTCCTTTTAGGGGTAGTGGACGAGACTTACTTACTGAATGAAAACGAAATATATCTATGTATCTCAGACCCAGATGATTCTTCCGTGAGGAGAGTGATAACCGGTACCTGTATAGTGTTCCGTAATCCTTGTTTCCACCCTGGAGATATAAGGGTAGTTACGGCAGTCAAATGTCCGAACCTCGGACATTTAGTCAATGTGTTGGTATTTCCCGCAAACGGGTATAGAGACTTGCCTAATATGTGTAGCGGGGGCGACTTGGATGGAGACGACTTTACCGTTATCTGGGATGAGAAACTAATACCAACAAGAAAATTTTTACCAATGGAATATCAAGCACCAGAGCCATATACTGTGGAGGAGGTTACGGTTAATGATATCAAACGGTTTTTTGTCAATTATATGCTCAACGACAACCTGGGGCAAATAGCAAATGCTCACGTGGTACATGCGGATGAAAAAGAAGTAGGTGCTATGCACGGAAACTGTTTGCGACTAGCACAGTTACATTCCGAGGCTGTGGATTTCCCTAAAACAGGCGTCCCTGCTGAATTCCCAAAAGAACTGCGTGTAAAAGAATATCCGGATTTTATGGATAAAGCGGATAAGAAATCTTATGTATCTCAAAAGATTCTTGGAAAACTGTACAGATCCATACAACTTCCAATTGATCATTTTAGTCCAACAGTAGATAAATTCATTAAATTTGATCAACGTTTATTTGTGGACGGCTATGAACTATATGTGGAAGACGCTCGTATTACGAAACGTGCATATGATGCGGATGTACGCGGTCTGATGAATCAATATGGTGTTATGACTGAATACGAGGTTGTTAGTGGATTCATAATCAACGCTATCGTAAAGGCGGATCATAAGAAGGTGCGTGAAATACAGAGAGCGGTCAGTGAAGCGATGGTTGGTATTCGACGTAATTACCGCCAAAAATTCGAGAAGGACATCTTTGCTGAATATTCTGTAAAATCAGCAGCCGAGGCCAAAAACCAGGCGTATATTAAGAGCAACCTGGAAGCTAAGGCCTGTGCTTGGTATTATGTTACTTATCATCAGAGCGAGAGAGGTGATTATCGTAATGATAACATGATTTCCTTCCCGTGGACGGTTGACGACCATTTGTGTGACATAGCCATTCGCAATGCTGCTGGCCGAGTTGAATCTTCAAATAGTGTTTATCGCGGATCAACTACGAATACGTCGTATCAGCGACCATCATCAGCAAGACCTAATGGCAGCTATAGTTCACAAATAGAAAGAATAGTAAATGTTAACCTCCCAGCTGGTGATGGTGGGATATCTAGAATTCGGCAGTCGTTGCAACGGAACGGATTGTAAAACTTCAATGACAAATATGAAAACGAAATCCAAATATTAGGAATAGTTTCGTTTTATATCACCAGTATCTCTTTACGAAATAGAACATACTTTATCACGGAACATCACATATACACGCAACAATATCGCTTGCGTTTTATACTCTTGTATGGGTTTTGATATAAAAAATAAAAATAAATAAAATTTGATAGTAACCGTTTTGTCTTGCTTTGACTTGGGAATACGAATTCCTCATCGATCAAATTCTACGATAAATCTTTCTGTTTGTATTAACGTTAATATTCGTGCATTAAGTTCTTGAAATTACCCGTATTAGTATAATAATAGCCTTGCTTTTCTTTATTGCCGACTTCTGATTCTATGCGGACGTCTTTGAGCAGACCAAAGACATAAACAAAACCACATTCAGATCAAATCGAATAATGATAATGCGCAACTGTTGTTAAGATAATAGTGACCTTTCGTTTGAAGTCTTGGGTTCAAGGAAACAAAAGTTTATGTTTATCACGTAAATAGTCAATAGTTAGCTTTAATCAATTTGCAATCCTCATGTTCTTACCATGAAAGCTAATGCTTGAATGTGTAATAGACTACGTTCCGCTCTCACAGAGAACTTCAATTTGGGAATGTTTCTGCTTTAAATTTAGTTTGTAACTATTCTTCTGTCAAAACAATATTATTTTCCCCATGTAAATGGAAACTTTTTCATACGACAGTAATTGACGTTTATACAATTCACTATCAGGAATACTCGTATATTAATATATAACTTTAAAAGTTATATTCAAAGTCTCTCAGCAGATCGTATTATTGAAATTTAAGCTATTATTACAGCAGAATAAAATTATCTGTATGAAAAATGTTTGTCTACCAATTTGATATTAACATTTGAGTATTAACATACAAACAAACGCGAACGACGATGTCCGATTAGATTATATATTAAAGCTATTGAATAAAAAAAATTAGATATTAGAGGAATTTATTGGCAAATCACCAATACACGTTCTGTGCTAGTAATATACGCGCGTTTACTTGTTAAAACATGAATGTTTATTACCTTTTTTTTTATATTTATTTAGACCTGATTTTCTAATAAAAAGTATACATTGATCTCTGAAAAGGATGCTAATTTAAATTCCAGCAAATAATAATAATAGTGTAGATTTCTGAAATTAAACCAAGAATACCATTTATTATTATGCTACTTAAACTATTTTGGTAATAATAGTCGGCGGAACAATCACAATAAGTCCGAAGACATATTAATATAGTCACAATATATACCTTCATAATCCTGAGACAATATAACAAAATTTGTTTCTCTTCCGGTGAAATACGTCTTTTTTCAAAACTGGTCCGTAGAAAAAGTTTGTCTATTTATTACCCGGTAAACTGTATAGAAATAGTGTTTCTTCATAGTTTTCTTTTGAACATTTTTTTCAAACCGACCATAACTAGGGAATAGCGTTTCTGCATGTTTATTTCACTCACAACTTCGTTATCTCACTATGGGTACTTAATTACTTTAGCAGACAACAGGAGAAGTAGGAAACAGGCAAGAGGAAACACAAGTTTAGGTGAATGTCGACAAGTTAATGTAGCGCCCATGTGCAGCCTGAAAAGGTATGTTGACAGATCAATGCTATCTTATATGTTGGAGATAAATTCAATCTATATAGCATCCTACATAAATATCAATCTCAATGTGAGCTTTTCCTTTATTCTCGTCTCGCGTTCTCTCTCGCCCTCCCATCCAGTATCGATCCCTCTTCCTATTCTCTAATGACCTTTTTACATCCTCCAAACGCAATCATAAACTGTCCTCCACACCAATGTCAACGTCATTTCGTCCCTATGTTGACCCACGGAGAGTTATCGAGTATGAAAATAATACCAATTTATACTCAAGTCATCGAAGAAAAAACAATCGGGGTCATGTTCCCAACTAAAAGAAGAGTTGGAGTATCCTGGTTACAAACGAAGCCGATTATGTAAATGGCATTGGAAGTCATAGACAAAATCCATCTCCATATTCTTATACACCGTCATCCAAACAATCCCCACCCGCTTGTCTCACGCAACTATGCTTGCCACAACTCTTCTCTCGCTCCGTCGTCAGATCAGTCTTCCACCGTATTGATACAGCGTCAACTACACCGATTCCGAGCCTGATTACCCGCCTAGCTAAGTGTCCCTTGAAGAGACATTCAGATACGAAATAAGACGGCCTGAGGATTTTGTCGGTAGATCCGACGATAGCATAGAGTCCAAATTGAGTTTCTTGATAGGATCGTGCTGGTTTTATGATGGGGAAATTGTTGAGAGCGTGTTGGTTGAAGGATGCCATTATATTAGTATGATTTCTGCTAATAATGCCACATACAGTAGTGAGCATAAGTGTCTAATTATATTCATATAAGCACCTCTCTGTAATGGGCAAGCAAGCTGCCTAATTGAGTGATTGTTATAGCTGATTTATTGACATATTTCTTTCGATGGCATGTTTGGTATTTTAATTTGTCTGATCAGCGTATGGTTTGTGTGCGTATGAGAACGATGCAGTACATTTGATGAAGGAGAGCAATGTATGGACGGATCGGGTAGACGGTGTGTCGGATACATCTTCTCGAAGAATTGATAGATTTTAAGCCCTCGTGTGCTTCTAGTTTTCGTGTTACGTATTGGAGGAGAAGGACATCCTCGTTGGCAGTAAATCGTCTTGCCCTCGCCTTTCCTTCTTAAACATCCGGAATACATTAACGTCTCCCAAACAGAAAACCTCTCCCTATACGCGATTTTGACCATACGAATAGAGGAAGACGGGGATGCCAAACAGAACATACGCAATACTCTTCCGGCACTAGATGCTAGATTAATTCGTGGCTTGTAAGATTGCCTGCCCAACTACATACCATGTGCGGTGGGAGATGAAGGGAAGCACAAGAACCAGAAATCCTCACAACGTTCGACATCATACGTTTCTTTTCGTAGGACCCTGCGAAGTCAGTGGTCAGGATAGACAACGGACCTGATGGAGAGTTAATACCCAATTCTGCCAACTTCCCCAAACTCATCAATAATACATCAAGCACATCGCCCAGCGCTCAGCTCCAATCTTCGCACAAATCATCACGAGCTGATCGAATACGCGACATTGTAGATATATAATCGTCACTTGGGAATATGAACCAGCAAGCGTGCTAATAATACTTGCGAAGTCTGCCAATGGACAGTTACGACGACAAGACATCGATGTGCTTTGTTTCTTTTGACTTGCACTTTTACGGCGGTTTCTTCGTAATCCGCTTTTCTGTCCTCCTGTTGATACCGAAGCCTTCTACCTCGTCTTGACCATCCATCCATTCGATGCATGTGATCCACGACTGCTTACTATTATCAGACGTTTTCCAAATCATTCGTTATGACGTCCTCGGGATCGTCCCTTCTCATGTCTATGTAAAAACCCTCCATTGTTATTGCATCGTTTAAAAGATAGGGTTCGGCTGCCTCTCGAGCTCTTTTCGTAGTCTTCTTTGGTAAGATACTCTCTGGAAGCGAGAAGTCGCATGTAGGAATAGCCAGTACAGTGATAGTTGTATCCCGCGGGCAGTGAAATTAGATGGTGGTATTGGTAAAGTTGATGTCAGTATCAGCGTTGGGGGTTGATGCTGTGTTTGTGGAAGGGACGGACGAAATATTATAGTTAATAAGATTAATTGATATTGTAATAATGTAAGTAATATTACATTCTTTGAAAGACTTGATAACGATAAGGTGCAATCAATACAGTGTTCTTATTAATATACCTGTTGTTGTCAAGGAAGTCACTTTTACGCAGTATGTCGCAAGAATATTTAATAACATATTGGATATCGATAATCGATTAATGTTAGCGTAGATTCTTACCTTCAGTGGTAAACACCATATTAATATGCACTACTATTACTGAGGTTCAATTAACAAGATAAAATTTAAAGTTGAAATCAATTGAACCTAGAATTAGCAACAAGCACATTATTAATACGCAACAAGGACACGGAAGACGATAGATTGAACTGACGTAACGTGTGTGTAGGAGGCCAAAGTCAAAGATTGCACTTTCAACCCACCTTACAGATAACGATAATAATGTGTATATCTTAATACGGGATCTGCGGGCAAAGAATGTATTATCTAATAGTTAGGGTTTCACAAGGACAACTTAATTATCTGGGTGTGTTTTTCACATTTTGCATAAAATACTGGTCTTTCCCTAATATATATTTCAAGAATATTTGCGATTTTTCACCTGTCCTTTTGTTGAATCAAAAATGTTTGTACGATCTCCAAACTTTTTAATGCATCACTAGCACTGATAACAGTTGTTTCAGTGCTATCGTCCATATCTTCCAAGTTACTGCTACTTTCTCCTCCTATTCTAAACATTTCTACAAGTTCATTAATATTAATGATTTGTAAACAACAGCACTTAACATACTGCATCAGCTGGAGTCGAACTAAGGCCACTCGCTTGGAAGGCAAGTATTCTACCGCTATACTACTAATGTAGACGGGATTGCACATGTAGAATAGGGAAAGTGTGCATTTATGGGCATTTAGACTGTTTTTTTAATCACATACCAAATTTGGCTTGTGCACAAAGATTTCGTATATACAGTCAACTCGACCGCTTGCGTTCGATCGAATTAACGTACAAGTCGAATTAACGTCAGTTAATTACAATAGAAATAATAATAAATGCCAAAAAATGTTCTGTAACCAATGGTCGAATTATCGGCAGTTGACTGTACTTGCTATTATTCCCAATTCGGACAATAAGTTTGTTCAGGTAATACAAATTTTATTACCTACCTACAATAAAACGCGAACGTTTATAAATAATTGAGGTCGAACTTCACATAACAATCAACAGCTGCGAATAAGTCAGTTCCATAACATTGCTCGAAATTATGTAAAAGAATGGCAATCTTGCATTATACGACAAATATGATAAAACTGTAACAGCCGTTTGGAATACAAAAATTTTAACTGCGTAGCTGTAGTTGGACCTACATTAAAAAGCTTTTATTTACACGGAATTTTAATCATATTATATTTTGCATAAGAAGGATAATAATCAAATATTTCGGCTGTTAGCCTTTGTATCGCGATTGCCAAATTGAGTAACGTTGCAACAATACTATGGCTTCGATCAAAAATGATGAAATTGTCAATCCACTCAAATGGCGAGATCGTCAAAAGGCAATCATTTCCGAGAGAATGCGTGGCCTCGTTGACAAAATGGTTTCGCGCATTCTGCCCCGTTGCCACCATGTAACGACCTGGTGCGTTTCGACTTTGGCTTTTTGGGACTATGTTGTCCATCATTGGATAGTTTGTGCCGCACTAGTGCATCATTGAAGAAGATGGTATGATCAGTAGCTTCAGTATTAACTGTATGAGAATTAGCAATTTGTAACCAGTATTTATCCGAGTATTCAGGTGATAATGCACAAAAATTCTGAATTCAGTCAAAGGTATAGAGGATCTGTCAGTAGGATGGGCGCTATTACTATGTAAAGTTAATTCGGCTTAGGGTATGTAATAACGTACTTGCATAAAACGCAGTTTTATTCTTTCCGCACACAATCTAAAGGAAAATTTTACTTTGTAAAGATTAAGAAAAAATGTGCCGATTCCAGTTAGACTAATACATCAAAGGGAGAGATAAAGCATTAAAGACATATATATTGGTCCCTAGACCTCCGGCTTAACGAGAATGGTCGTCTTCTGCGCTCGCCTAGCTTTCCGTTTGATCATCAGACCGATTAGGCAAAATCATTATAATTAGACAGGCAGTAACATGCAAGTAGCTCTCCGTTTTCTTTTGTATATCTATTGGCATTCTTCTATTTGTACTATTCAATCTGAGATGGTTCGAGTTTTAGAATTTTAAACGATATCCCATTTTTTAAACGCGTTTACATTTTAATATATTAATGTCGTTAGCCATGTCTTATTTTTGTAAGGGATGAGTATAGAACTTTTATTCTTGTTCGGTGTCCAAAAATTCTTCTAGTGATGTATACGAGCTCTCATACAGTTCTGTCGTTCTAAGCAGCGCCGGAGTGATTCCACGTTTATAGCCACATGCAACTTCTATTAAACTATTGATTTGCCTCACGATAACTTGAACGTTGACTTGGTTCTAGTTGAGAAAAATTTACAAGGTTATATAATCTCACATTCGACCATTTGACCAACCAACTCTTTTTCACTCGAAATAACTTACCGTTAGATTGACATAAAATATGGACATGTCTCCACAAACCTTACTGATAAAATAATCTAATTCTTCGCATTCAAACGTGTATTGAGTAACCTTCTCAACTGTTCGACGTTGACGTAATGTTAGTAAATTAATGTTAATTTATAATCCTTTATTATATGCAATGATAACGTCTCTTGCCTTGAGTGGCTACAACGGCACACCTCCCAAGGAAGTACTCTTCGTTTAATTTCATTACTGACTTCTTCAACGCTTCGAAACTGTCTGCTTGTGTCATAGATAACATAAACAGGACAAAATCTATCCTAGGACGAGGAGTTGATGCGGATGGAAGAGGAAGAGACTCTGCTGTGCGACTGAAAAAGACGTGATAAAAACATGAACTAAATTACAAACAAAATATGCAATAGCAATTCCTAAAAACATACATGCGAATTGTCATTTCGTTCGCTAATATGTTTATCATTAGTTCACCAAAGTTCGCCGTCTCAACGCTCGGTGGTCCTACAATCTGTATTTGCAATATGCAAAGCATTATTCGTAAAGCTCATATCTGAATGATAAACCTTTTATTACTGACCAGCACTGTAGCATTACGTTCCATTTCTGGGCGCGGTAACTCATTAAATGGCAAGAGCGCGTCGTTCATCATTATCTATGCAAACAGTATGTGTTCTGAATTTTCTAGATTCAAAAGATTTCAAACGATGAATGGTATGAATATTGCCAGTTTTCAGAGAGAAAAAAAAAAGTTTCTCGTGCTATATTACCACTTTTGTCTTTTTGTGGCATTTGTATGCTACGGATTATTGGTAGGTGCTATTCTTATTTTTTATCCACCACCATACACTCGAGAAATTAATATTTGGTCTCGTTTACAAATTCCACCCTCTAAAAGGTAACAGGAATGCGCTGACTTCGATGAACTGTATACGTACGCGCAGCGTGTTTATGTCTACGGGAATCTGTGTAAAGGTGTGAGAGTCAGGGTGGGGAAGTGGGAATTGAGGAAAGAACGGGAAAATATGCGTTTAACAGATCGGAAGCTCCAATAATGTTCTAGTCTCTAATATATAATTTTGCATGTCTGGGGATTATAATGCGACGT